TACGAGTAAAATTAGTTGTGTTTTTTTTTCTTTGCCAGTTTAACAGTTTCTGTTGTGCCTGTCACTGTTCCCTGTCTGTTTTCTTACCTGGTTCGTCCTGACCTTGTACTTTTCCCTCTTTCCTCTCTCCCTCTTTGGACTGACAAGACAATCATACACAAATAGATTGTATTCAATTAGATTAAAAAATACTATTAAGATCACTAATAAAAAAGTCCTCTCTCAGTGTACTTTCAACCAAAAGACAAATAACCAAACCACATAAAAGATGTAAATACTGAAACACTGATCCAACATTATCCTTTTTTGACGGATCATTTGATTTTACACTTTTACCTGAATGTGGCTCCTTTTTTGAAAAAACTTCCTCATATCCATTATGAACCTGGCTGTCTCTCTGTACACACACACACACACACACACACAACAGCAGTTATAAGGTTAATAGGAATCCAGTCAGTTAGCTAGTTAGTACCTTGGGTTTAATATCGGCACATGACAAAATAACCAGTTTCTCTCATTACATTTCAAACAGTTGTAGCAACAGTGGTGACAACAGCAGGCTACAGACAATGTTAAGTTTTAGGTTTTAAATAGGTTGTATACATTTCAATGAGATTAACAGGACGGTCAAATATCGCTGATTTTACTACAGAGCAGGACGGATTGTAGGGTAGCAAACATAGTCGGAAAACAAGTTTTCAATACTGCAGGTTACCTGGTGTAATGTTTTTCAGCTAAAAAGAAACATGGTCTGACTCCTACCTAACTATATAAAGAATAACTGAAGGTTAAAGGCAGCTAACATGTCCTGTTTTAAGCCAAGTACCCACATCTCCGCTCTGCTGCGTCTCAGCCACTATGGCTCTGGCAGCAACAGCGCTAGAGCCAGAGCAGGGGAGAGGCGAGCTGGAACAAACCATTTTGGGAGGGGGGGTTATCTATACTTTTGTTGTTAAAATGTTCCATCTCAATTAAGTACTGTATGCTTTTTGTATTTTTAGTAGTGTGTCCCACAAACAGCAAATATTTTCAAAAAAAGTAAGAAATCTTTGGGGGTGCTTTGATTCATCTTGGGGGGTGCTGAAGCACCCCCCAAGATGGGCTAAAATCGCCCCTGCAGTCATATATCCACAAACACAACAAGCTGAAAGTCAGTGATGCTGCTCCGTTTGCAGTCCTGAATATCACGGCACAAGCAGGATTCACTGCACTGTTAATGTTAGCTATGTTATATTGCTGCCTCTGTTCGGTGGTGTCGAGCCAAACGGACTTTAACGTGTGTTTGAACGAGCTGACGGTTCACTCGTTAAGCTGAAAGAAAGATGCTTTAATCACAGGAGTCACACATGTGTCCACTGTACCATCTGGGAACTCTTCTTGTTTAGCACTCGTAATAACACAAACACTAAATCCTCCTTCTCTTGTGCTGTTTTGTAGCAGTGTATACACCTGAGACTGTCACCTGTCTGTCTGTCCTGCACTCTCTCTCTGTTTCTTTCTCTCTGATTGTGGAATAAAAGTATGAACATGTATTTATAAGTTACACTTGTGTTTGAATCCTGCAGCTTATCACACATTTGATTTCCATGTGTGACAACTGCAAGTGTCCAGAGTGAGGACAGACTGAGGGACCCACTGCTGCACATCATCTGTGAGGCTTTGCACCCCTGATGATCCACCAGGACAAACTCAGCAGTGTGTGAGGAAGAGGAGGAGGAAGAGCCAGCAGCAGCTGACAGATGGAGAGAATAGACAGACTGTTCCCTGTTTGTGAAGGACTGCTAGAAAAGTTTAAATAACTAATTGTCTGTCCTGAATCAGTCTTATTAGGTAATGTTCAAATAATTTTATCATTCCAGTGTTTTCAGTGTGGGAGAAAGTACTCAGGGCCTTCAAGTTACACACTATGAAAGGCAGCAACAAGTTTAATATTCAGAAACCTAAAGTATGTATCAGCAGCAGAATGGAGCTAAAAATAAATGTTTGTTCCAGTTCTATGAAGCTTTGAGTATTTTGGATTAGTAGCACTGCTGTGTTTGTTGCATCATATTGCTGTAATTGTTTATATGCTTTATATATTCTGAGGTAAGTTGATCTATAGTGTTACATCATATTCTATAAGGATGTTATGTGTTTGTATACTTTCTGCCCAGTTTGACCCATTTAGCAGAAGCCAGCCTGTTTAAGGCTCTGATATCTATTCTGTATGACTTAAAGCAGTTATGACATGGTCTGATTTTCTCACCCAATAAAGGAATATTTCATATATCAGTCTACTCTTCATTTATCAGAAACAGTTATCACAGCTCGTACATTTTCTTTTTACACATATATGTAAGCATTGAGCCAAATTTAGTAATGCCAACATATTAAAAGAACAATATTTGTCTCTTATATATAATACATCTATATATACACTGTCAAAGATACTTGTCTTTGAGTGAAGATTTAAGGTGATAGGAAATATAAATAAATGCAACTTGAATCTTTACTGAAGCTCAGTGATTTGACACAGAGTTCAAGCTCACTGCTGTAATAACTAATAATGATTAATATATAACTAATATTGGCCATATTATATTTACATTACCAAAGTGAGATGACTTTAGTCTCATGAACAACATTAGCTAATTGTTATTTACTAGCTAATCTTAAATGACTGTTCAGTACAGAAATGAAGCCCAACAATCATGTTTTTCAGCCTCAGATACTCAACAAATCAAACAAAGCTCATGTAAAAACAAACAAATGAACAAAATTTCTCCTTCATTTCTGTCAAACAAAGCTGTGTGAAACGTTTCCAGCGGTTAGTATCATGGTTGCTAGGCAACCTGGGCAGCGCGACCTAGGCTAGACCGTCCCATTTCACAAGCCTCTCACTTCCGGTCTTAGAGGTCTTTGAGTACGCGGCCCTTGTGGACCGTTAAGGCTGCAGACCCTGAATTGGTATACAGCCAATAACTCTTACACTGCGCCGTAGTAACATGGATTAACCACTATGTGTCGCTCATGTCGCTGATGTAAACGAACATGTGAATCACAGCGCCGACTGGCGGCCCTTCGTGCTATATGCATTAAATAACAACACAACAATACAACAATTTAAAATAAACTTGCAATGCTTACAATAGAGTACTCTTATAGAACACTATTGCTAATTATATTAAAATATATTTCCCCAACATTTCCTTTTGTACTTCATATGATTAAGTACTGCTGGTTAAATCTAATGATATGCTAAGAACAGTCATGTGAGTAAAGTTCAAATAAAAGCATCCGACCAGAGCAGATACAGTGTACATTACATACTGAAAGAGCTTCCATCCCTTGCTGTCTTGTCAGACAGAATAGATGTCCTCATTTTGTCCAATCACCAAGTCGGGACTTGCTTTAGGGGGTTGCAAGCAGAGGTGAAAGAAGGAGGCCTACTTATAGATTTTACTTCAGTAAAAATAGCAAAGCAGCCACCAACAGTCATTTTCTTATTGTTATTACAGATGCATGAGCAGATTTCTACCTACTATACTTCAATGAATTGCATCATGATTATTCACCAGAAGTATCTGAGAAATGGTGAATTTTAGATGATTATTAAAAGAATAAATGCTTTAATAAATGCTTTGAACACACAGTTCTGCTGTTTACTGAAATATGTACAAATACACATACACTATATAAAGGAAACACAGTTTGTACTGTTCTAACAAGTTTGAAATTCAATATTTGGTATGACCACATTTATCCTTTTCTTCTAATTTCTTTAAATACTCTTCTGGAATATTTCTCTAGGTTCCTTGCAGGACATTTAAAGCTCTTCTTTGGATGTTGACTGTTTTCTTTTTCCAGTCTCTGTCAAGATGATCCCACATTTGTTCAATAATGTCAAGGTACGGGTTACAAAGCTGCCTCCTAACTCAGAGCAAGCAGACGGTTCAGTCACACGAGTAGGACATGAGCCTCCTTCCATCTATAAAAAACACTTCGGTGGCTGCCTGATGATTGCATTTCATTTAACAACTGCAGTCTGACTTGGACTGTGAGCAATTACTCTCAGACAAATTTTTGAAGTTTTGAAAATAATTGCTGTCTCATTTCTGAATGAAGACAGATTACCAACATGTCACCATCAGTCTGAATGGCCCTTTGTCAAGCTGGCTGCCAGCTGGTTGTATTCTGGTTGTATTCCTTTAGAACAGAAAGACTGCTGAGCGAAAATTTAATAAATTAGTTAAATATGAATTAGACAGCAAAAGAAATGTGAGCTTTGATGATTTATCACAATATCAACATTTCACGCAATTGCCAACTTGACCTCATTCAACTTGTTCGCCGACGGACTCCTACATATGGCAACATTTGTTTTTTAGTTAGTGTTGGTGTGCTTGACTGTCTCATTTTACATTTTTAAAATAAAAAAATGTAAAATGAATTAAAACATTTTAATTAAATAAAACAGATATTGAAAAAGTTTAACTTTGAAGACATAATTTATATTTTACTGCAATACTTTGCAAACTGCAAAATACTGCATCATAAGTGAAGTATCATGGGGTGTTTGGTGATTCCCACCCTGCTGAATATAGCCATGTACGCATGTAACCGTAATTCTACTTAATAAACTGAGAACAACTACTCTACTCTAATACATCTCTCTAAAAGAATCACAAGATGATTAACAGGACTGGAAAGTAGAAAACTACTATAATCTGTACTTACAATGTGCTAAAAAAATATCAGAGAAGGAAAAAACTGTTCAGTAAGAGTGGATACAAACAAGGGTCATCTCAACCAAGAAGTGCAGCAAAGGGCGAACACTGACAACAAATTGTCCTTCTCTTAGTCAGTGGGTGCACAGTGTGCTGCTAAAAATGATTTTGCATACTCTGGATGTTCCACTTCCGAGGAAGAGAAAGGCAAGTCAGATGTCAGTAGTAGCAAAGGTCTAACAAACATAGCGCTCAGGACTTGACCAACAATCATCAACGCACTCAAGAAGCTGAATTTTAACTTTATTTTATTTTCATATATTGTAATGGTACAAAAGGAGAGCCTGAACATTAGGCAAAGTTCAGTTGTCCATTGTTACAGACGTCCCACTTAAAAAGCCAGTGTTCAGTCCACTTGGCAACAATTAGTAAAAGGCCTTGTGATACAGACAGTGCTGAGTGAAACAAGTCCGTCCATCCAACTTTTAGTTTACATTTAACGTGATCGCTGCTTAGGTTTAAAAGCGTTCCTTCCAGTATCAACGCACGCATGGTTTCAAATGAAATGGATGGAAATGAACCGTTTTCCCTGATCCACAGGTATCAGAATACAGAGATGAATTGTACAGAGCAAATACAATCATGATTTATGTTCCATACACAGGCAGAAATATAATGCAACCACGGCAGTTTAAGAAAAATCTAGGGCGATGAAAAGGAAATGAAACTGTCTGGAAATGTACAATCTTGGGAAATATTAACAGATGATATACTGATGTACACAATGCCCACACTGGAGGGTGAGCTCACCTCCATTTACAGTAAGTCAAGATTGTCGAGAGTCGTTTCTGCTCAGTTGTGAAGTCCTGTTTTGTTTATTCAAAAACAGCAGTGTCCAAAGGGAAACCAGCAGCAATATGAATGATGATTATGAGCAAGAATAAACTGACCAGTCACGCTGCTTCACACAAACATTGCTTAAGTGATACATAATTTAGAAACACACAAAAGGAATTGGGAAAAGCTGGAAAATAACAAAAAAGAAGAAGAACAAAAACAAGAAAAGCTTTTATACGCACTGACTTAATATGTTTGGGTGAAAATGAGCTGAGACTATATCTGAAACTGCTAGAGTTTTCTTGTAACCAAGGAGCACGTATGAGTCATCAAAACTTCCTCCTTTTGGTTTTGTGGGAATGTCTGACTGACCTTTTCCTCGGACTTTCACCTGATTCACTAACAGAAAAGGGAGTGGGCTGAAAATTAGACGCATGACTCAGAGGGACATGACGGTGAAGGACTGTAGAGCCGAGTCACAGCTCGAAGGACAGAACAAAAATGACCAAGGCAACTCGTCACCATAATATTTGTGCGTATGTGTCCAAACATACGCACGCAAAACAAACAAACCCCCAGATAAAAACATATTCATGAGAATTTTGACAAAGTAGTGTGAGAGAGTGTGAATGAGCACCATCCATCTTCGCGAGTTATACTGACTATACAGGCTCTACTAGGAAATAATTTAGGTTTTTATATATGTCTGAACTCCCAGAACTAATGATGTGACCCACATGTTAAGGCTAAAATTTTATAACAAAAAATGTGCGTACAGTTGTTATCCTTGGGATCAAATCAAGCAACCAGGGCTTTGTAAATCTAAAGTCTGCCATTAAAACACAACAATATTATTGCCCGATATTAGCTAATCGCCAATGTATCGGTATTGGCATTTACAACAGTGTTGCTGATAAATGAAAACTTTAAAAAAAGAAGAGACAGGAGAAACATCCTTCAACCATGTCATGAGTGTTGATGTTGCATAGATTGTCCACCGGAGGGCAGTCTGCAACTTCCCTTTCATCAACGCGTGTTTGGAACGACGCAAACACAACAGCCGCCTGATCCCAGCAGAGCGGAGGTGAATAAATAACGACGCATAAAATACATCAGGAGAATTTGTTTATGTTTAGTGCGTTTGAAAGAGAAAAGAAAAATATTGGAGTATTGGCTTTTTAAGTCACCAAATATCGGTATTAATATCAGCCGGGCCCTGTCTGCCATTAGTACCACTGTACACTGCTTAAGTGCTGTGTGCAAACAGAAAGCTTTACAGACAACCTAAAGCTGACTAAGGCCAGTTATTAGTGCTTTGAAAGTGACACTTTCCTGGAATAAAAACCTTAATTAGCAATAACAGGAACGCTACGTATTGGCAACAATGAAGAACAACATGATACATTGTTTTTAAAAAATAATAACAATCAATAATCAGACTAGATGGGCTAACTCAGAGTAAACTGCCAGTTATAGCCCAACATCATACACATTTCTATGTTACTATATTATTTACTTGCCTATTTTTGCGGATTGATTGGCAGGCCGGCAGGCCAACAGTCCCTATCCGCATACTTGGCACTGCTCACGTTTATCCCGCAGTATGCAAGCAATTCAATTTAAGCATTCAATCCTTTCCAGGAAAGCTGAGATTTCCTGTGGATGAATCTGTTTCTCTGGCATTATTGCCTTTTTGCTTCCATCTGCAATCTCTGTTGCAATGTTAGCACTAGTTGCTCGTCAGCTCACATAAAGCTAAAGCTCCTATTTGTGCCTTTTAATACTGCATGGGAGCTCTTTACTAGTTCCCCCTACAAGGACATTTGGATTCAGTCAAGGCCTCAGTAAACAAAATATACCGTGAACAAAGGTATAATTGTATCATTAGAGTTAACCTTCCTTTAAAAAGCTTGAATCAAAAGAGAAAAACAGCAGGTAGGAGGAATACGGTACACATGAAACAAACACATTAAATATTTCAGCTATACATTTTACAGCACAAGAAATAAAAAACGAGCCAAGATTGTGATGTTTGCAATCATTCCTGGGGTATAAAGCTTGTAAATTCTAAGGCCATATTAGCTGCAAGAGATGCTTGGCTGGGGTAAACATGGCAGAATTAGTCCAAATGATGCTATTAAATCCAAAGGCCTTAATAAGGAAAGTGTTTCAAGCAAACCACGCATGTTACATTAATTTGGTCCATAGATGGTGGGAATCACATATTGCATGTTCGTTTTCTCTCTCCCTCTCTCTGCAAATGTTTCACTTCTGTTGTCTGATCTAAATGTTTCTCCACTCTTCCATTTCCTGTTTGTCCTCATCTGTCACTTAGATAAACAGATTACATATAAGTGTCTGCTTTTGAAGCTTGACTCAACTCTTCTCAAACAGGAAGTATCTAAACTTTCCATTATCACATCTGAAGTTCATTTCCTTTGGGAGTCCCACACATGTAAAGCTTGACTAAAGCTTCATAAATCATATGGCGCATTAAAAAAAAGGAATAAAGAAAAGAAGTACCTTCATTCTTGTTCATTTTTTAAGTGTATTATCTACTCGATGTGTGATTAGCAGTATCTATGCTCCATATATTTTAACTAAAAAACCCAAAACAAAACAAAACCAAAAGAAATCCGCTGTGACTTGTAATGCAAGGACAGCTAACCTCACATAATTACATGTAATTACAACATAGCAAAGAAAATAACAATAATATGGGTATAGCTTTGACAATTTCTTTTTAAAATAAATGCAAAACCAAAACTACACGTCTATTGTGCATAACATTGCATTCCAATATTCACAATAAAACAGCCCTTCTCACAGGCCCAAACATAATGCTAATGTATGGTACAATTTAAAAGTACACCAAAATAAATTCTTGGCCTTTTCCCAACACATTACAAAGTGTCATATTAAATCTGATAAAGTAACACACTCAAAAAAAGTATAATGCTCGTTGAAACAGAAAGATTCAAAGAAAGAAGATGGATTTGTCCACCATAACTTCCCATGCAGTTAACAAACAGCCTGCCTCACAGACTGATGTTATAGTTTAACAACTGCAGGGTATTTAGACATTGAACTGTAGAGTGTGTTCCCATTTGTTTCCACTGAATATTTGACAGCTTTGTTTCTTTGAAGTTCATCTTCTGAGCTAAGGCCTAAGCTGTGAGATCACCCGTGAGATGATTTGCTAATCTTCATCAAGTCATTTTGTCTACGTAAAAAAAATGCCTCAGAGTAAGTCGAGCATAAAGAAAGCCAGAAGGAAAAACAACACGGCGAAGCTTCATGCCTCAACACATCGGCTATCAGTTGCGCTGTAATTTGTTCGATTACATCTGCTAGCACAGTGAGGCATGCTGCACCTCATCTGCAGATATAACCGTATAAAACTCAAAGGTGATTTTCAGTCTCGAGGCCAGAGAACGTCAGGCTAACACTCTTCTGTGCATATTTCCTGTTGATAGTAAAGTAGTGATAATCAGCACATTTAGATCACTGGCAAGGTTGAATCGTGCAAGTTTAAATAAACGGGTTTGCTTTGGACAGTTTCTATTGTGGCATGCATACTCAACATCACCTGGATGAAACACTGAAAGGCCACAATACCAAACCACCTTTCATCGCCAAGCTAGGTTATGAGATTATTCCACTGGCAGGCATGAGACAATTCCAAAAGACATCACTTTCCTGTGCCTGTTGGGCCAGAACTGCTGCATCTCCTTCAAAGTTTCACAAAATTTCACTGCTTCTTCATTCCTCTGATCAAACTTCTCTCCTCTGCAGCTGTCCACAGTGGTTCGGCTCAGGCTTGTTCCTTATCGGCCCTCCACAGCTGCTCTTTCACTTCTGAGGGAAGCGTGTTGAACAGGTCCTCCTCCACCACCAGGCTGCTCTTCTTCAACAGTCGGCACTCGCCGAGCTCCACCGGAAGACACTCCAGACGGTTCCCTCGCAGCTCCAGCTGAGTCAGCCCGGTCAGTTCCCCAAAACGTGACGGTAGAGTCTGCAAGCAGTTGTTCCCCAGATTCAGAGTACGAAGTTTCTTACACTGGAACAGCTCTGGGGGCAACGTCTCAATCTGAAATGGAGAGGAAAGGAGGAGGTTGCAGTTACCCTGGCCTGCTGAGGCAGTTACTAAGCAAAACATGTTTCACATAATAAGCTCAGTTGTAGATCACATTAATTTCAGATGCTAACCAATTAAAACTACGACAAACAGGCAGGATCACAGGAACAAAATCAAAACTAGGTTAAATCTAGGCCTACAGTTATATATGGGTGAACACGGTGCAGGCCAGTATCGACTTTGGTGACTGCTATGAGCAGATCCAACATTTACTATAGCAACTTAAAGACGGTTAATAACGAGATAAAAGACTTTTAAACAGCTGGGTTATTTTAATTGTGATAACCATAAAATAAAGCATCTGTATTGGTGACAGACAAGCAATCTCTTGCTGCCACCTCCAAAACAGCATTGAGTTAAATGTGACTTGATTGGTTCAAATGTTTTGCCAGGTTTGGTTAATTTCAGCTGTTCTTGGATGCCGGCTCTGAGAGTTGAGTATCACACCAGTAAACAGAATCTAGGCATCATTTTAGATTACTTGTAAACTTTTGTTAAAGCCTTATTACACAATTCTACTAAATATAACTACTGTGTGCATTTTTAACCAGCTTAGTTTAGGTAGCTGGAGTGCTAGCTATTAACAAAGAAATTTTTCCTATTACTCAGGATCAACCGAGCAGAGCACAGCTGATGTTTAGACAGCTGATGTTTTATTCAAATCTTACCCTGATACTACATTCATGTGTTTGACCAATCAATGTATGCAACCAGGTCTTTCGAAGCTTAGCTAAAAAAAACATTCCCACGTCCCATGGGTTTTGCACTCAACAATAAAGCTACGGGTTGACAGAACAATTTTACATCTGATTACGAATTTTACGCAGGATGCCCTTCCTGACACCACCCCATAAAGAGGCTAGTCTCCATTCTGAATTGACCCAGCGACTTAGACTATGGAGCAAACACCCAATACTACGTAAAACTGGAATTTAATCTGACTCAAATGTGATATTTAGAACAATAAAATAACAGTGGGTTTGCGATGTAACCACCAGAACGTGATACAGGCAAAGAATTTCACAATTTGTGCATGTCTGCTAAAGACTTAAAGGTTTGAACAAATTTAGGACTTGAGTTTACTTTGTGTACCATGAACCTCTGTTTGAAAACAACAATGCAGTCACACTCTGTTAAAAACTTCTAAACATTAAAAACCTTTTTTTTTATTTGGATAGATAATGTGCTGGAAGTTTAAAGAGGATTTTAAGGAAAAGAGGCCCCGAGAGCCCAAAACATCAAAAGGACCCCATTTAATGGAGCTATTTGTAGCCGCACACAAACCTGCTGGAAGCTATTTTCAGCATGCAAGCGCAGTAGAAAGTCTAGTAAAACAGCAGTAATAATAACCTTTACTGAAAAACACATGATGCTGTATGCATGCTCAGTGTTCAAAACAGTATTATCAGGAGAATTCACCAAGTGTTTCTTTAAATTCTCACAGTAAACAAATGTGAATGAAATGCCCCAAAGCAAATAACTGAGTTAAAGCTTAAATGATCTCCTTCATCAGAAACAACAGGCTTCAATCCAACTGTGAATTTTTAGCATGATTGAACATGTTAATGAAAAATAACCAAGTTTATGATAATCTGCCACCTTAACACAGTGAGGGAGGCTAGATTTGTGGAGAAAAGCGACACATTATACAAATAATACCATATACACTTTGTAATAAATACATAGCAATGACACATTTTGGTCCGCTTGGAGTTCACTTGGATTTTTTTGTGTGTGAAAAGAAGCCAAACCACAGGAAAAAGCTACAAGTTTACAAATTCATCAACTAATTTAGACCAGCGTAAAAAAACTATAAAAGCGCCCTTAGACAAAGACTTGGACAGCTGTCAATATACCTGGGTGGTCCACCTAAGTAAAGTCTTTGTATGGGAAGCACTACAGTCCTACTGTTATCTTCAAAGGCATAATTCTACACCAAGAACATGTAGATATTTATAATGGCTGACCTTCGTCAACAACTTGTCGGGTTTTTAAGCTAACCTTACTGACATCTATGAGAAAGATAAAGGGGTGGAAACATGACTGCAGAATGAGAGAACTTGATAACTTTTACTACACTTTGAATCACCTTGTTGTTGAATTGTGCTATACAAATAAACTTGCCTTGCCTTACAATGAATAATTTAAGAAATTCTTCGCTACTCACCCTGTTTGCTGTCACTGCAAAATACTGCAGGTTCTGGAGGAAGCCCACATCTGGGTGGATGCTGGTCAGATTGTTGTGGCTCAGGTCCAAGAAGCGCAACTTGCGGCAGAAGAAAAGCTGGCTGGGGATCCTCTCTATCTTGTTCCTATTCAAATAGAGCCTTTCCAGGTTGGTGAGTGTTCCGATCTGAATGGGGATATAGGCAATCTGGTTGTACCACAGCTTCAGGCACACGAGGCGGTGCAGGTGCTGGAAGCTGATGATCTCCTCTATCGTCTTCAGATTGTTGTCCTTCAGGTCGATTTCCTGCAGGTTGTGCAAGCTAAAGATGGAGTGCGGAATACGTTCGAGATCGCAACGAATGAGCTCCAGCTCAGTCAGGTTGACCATTTTCTTCAGGCTGTTGAGCACCATTAGTTTGGTGCCCTCATTGTTGATGGAGAGCTTCTGAAGGTGCACACCCACATCCGTTACCACCTGGGGAAGCTTAGTGAGGTTGCTCTTAAGCCGTAGCACTTTGAGACTTTTGAGCTCTCGGAGCCCATCGATGACAATGTAACGATTATTCTCAGCACTCAGGTTCCCGGTTAAATGCAGCTCTCTGAGATTCTTCAGGCTGTAGATCCACAATGGGATCTCCTTGATATCAGTGAACTTAATGTGGAGGGACTTCAGATTCTCTCTTAGAAAGGCCAGAGCTGGAGCCTCAATTTTAGCCGGGGTGTGATAGAGCCACATTTCTTTTAGGTTGGAAAGCTGGGCGATGATTGGAGGGATAGTAACATCTGGAATAAGTTCCAGCTTGAGCACCTCTAGTTCAATCAGATCAAACACCGTGTCTGGAATCCCGCTGAGCATGAAGAGGTGCAGCTCCAGCTTCTCCTGGGAGTTCTTGGTGATACGCTGCCGTAGCTTCTCCAGTGTCCACTCATTGTTCAGGTTGAGTTGCCTCAGCTTGTTTTCACTCACCTCTGACAGAAACACAGCGAAGCGCTTGGAGTAAAGAGGGTCATACTGATCTATCATGTGCAGCATGAAGGCAAAGTCGTTCTTTACATCTGGGATGTCACTGTAACTGCTTTCCTCACGGATTGCTTCAAAGGAGTATCGTTTCAGGGAGCGGCTGAGCATCCAACAAAGAGTGTACATGCAGATGAGTCCATAAACCACCACCAGGGAGATGTAGAAACAGGCCAAAATCCTGAAAAGAGTTGCTAACGGATGGGCGCAATGGAACGAGCTGTACCCGGTTAGATTCTGAATATTCTCTGTGCACAGCACATTGAAGCTGATGTGTTTTACATAGTGGGCTGTGTAGCCAAATATCAGTATAAACTTTATTACCTTGATAATGGTCTGACGTATGTAAAGGCGGTACACTATATCACCCTCCTCTACATGTATTCTGAACTTTTTAACCTTTTCAAAAAGGGCCTTGGCCTGCTCCCCTTCCTTTTTATCTAAAACTCCAGTTTCAGAGCGATCAACAATTCCTTGTTCAATTCTGGTCTTTGTTCGTTGGAGCATGGGCACACTGGCCTCAACATCCTCGCTCACGCTTGAGGCCTTCTTGTCCATCGAACCGTTCATTTTCCCCACAGGCTTGGGGTCGCTCTCCTCCACCACGGTCTCAGACAAAGCTCTCGTTGTCCACGGGGAGTCGAAGCACTTGAGGAGGATGGAGACAAAATGCTCCACTTTAGAACTCGTGCGGGGGAACTTAAACCAGAAGTTGCTGCAGGCCAGGAAGATTAGAGTGTGGAGTAGCACCAGATAGGGGAAATATTTGGCAAACCAGTGTAGTTTTTTCTCATAGCACACTGCGTCTACATAGTTATACTGATGTCGGTCAAGGTCATACTGAATGCCTTTGGGTTCCGGTGCGTAGTGGGTGGTCAGATTCGGCATGGGCATGACTTCGCACGAGTCATTAACGACCCACTTGCAAGGCAAGCAGATCATCTTGTCCTGTGTGACCTGCAGCGTCCCGCCGAACACCGCAATCATCAGCATGACGATTGAGATGTAGTCTGTGAAAACGTCCCACCATGGCTTCAGGATGCGGTATGCTGGCTGGGTGTCAGCAAAGTATCGGAGCTCTGTGACGGGAATCATGATGGTTTATCTAAAAAAGCAGAGACAACAGAGGATTAGTTCATGACATGTTAGGTTAAACTGTGTTTTGAAAACCTTAATGCTTTGGGGCAAAACTTTGTTTAAATTACACTCAAAATATTATTCCTGCCTGTTGGCAGCTGACTGTGGCAGCTGGTTGTGAATATTTTAAGCTTTTTCCTTATGAAATCCAGTTGAATAGCTGTTTTTCTTTGATAGCTTCTATGCCAGTTTCTGGGATTAAGCCAACCATTGTTTTCATTAGGAATTAATCCTCTAATTATTTCGTCATTCATTATTTCTAAAATGCCATGAAATAGTGAAGAATGTCCACTATGGTTTCCTGAAAGAATACATTTACAAATTACACTCCAAAACTATGACACAGTCAATTTACAAATACATAAACCAGAGAGAGTCTGATGGTGCACTGGAGAAGCAAATGTTTGGATGTCTTGTTTTTTTGCATGAAATATGATTCAAATTATTAAACCATCTATACAGTGGAAACCCATATTCCCAACAGCAATCAAACATATTTGCCACAATGTGTCTTGGAGAATATCACAGCACTGAAAATAGTACTAAATGGATACCATAATAGCATCACCATTTCATATAGCAGGATAAACACAATCCTTTCATTTTACACTGCACAATTGGAAGGAAGCTTGCTTTAGTCTTGCCTTCTTGCTCTTATGTTATGTCAATATTGATGTGAATATTTTAAAAAGTCAGACAGCAAATTAATAAATGCCACACACACAAATAGCACTAACTTACAATTTGCCTTTTATCCTGATGTAGCCCAACAAGCACCTATGAGCAAAGAAGTGGAGGTTACCAGACTAGAAACACACAAAACACGATAGTTCTGATAGCTATTTGTCCTACAACTAAACAAAAGATCCTCTGAGCATCTTGCATGGGACACAGCACATTGCAGAGGCAATAGCAGCACAGACCCCGAAGCAGGCATGTTCATACAGACTCGGTGTCTCCACCTGTACTGCTACGTAGCCCTTTCTCAGAATGAATACGTTTTAACATGTTACTCCTTACAGAAAGGGCCACGAAGGAATGTATTCTCCCAAGAAGCTATGTAAAATCCTGCAAAACCAACAAATTTCCTGATTGTTTTCCCCCAAAAAGTGAACAATCCAAACAAGCAGGAATACTTAAATTAAAATCAAGAAAAACAACTTGAAAATGGATGCTAAACCCATTACTGAACACAAAGCTGCTGCTGATCCCACGAAAACACAAATCCCCCAAAGTGAAAAACTCCTGAGGCTTGAGTATGTGTGTAAAAACCACAATCAGGCATCTTTTTCAAACAGTAATTAACAATAGACTGAACAATAAAAAAATAGAGCAGTCAAAGCAGCTTTTTTTCACAATTCAAGATGTTTTAAAGGATCATATTAGCCCAAGTATAACCTCCTACACAGAAATACAGTTTCATGTGGACACAAATCTGATAGTAGAAGAAGAAACAAATCAACTGTAATAGTACTACTTATTTTTCTTCTTATAACAGTAAGGAAGAATCAAAAACAACAAAAACTGCATCTCCCTGTTTGTTCAACCACCCCCTACCTTATGAAAGAAGATAGCTGCGCAAGTCCTCACAAAAACGCATTGTTTTTTATCCAGTTCAAACCAGAATGGCAGCGGAGTCGCTGTTGGCCTCCTTCGTTAGGCTTCTGCTTTGCTTTAACACAGAAATTACAGCACACTGAGACCCCAACAGCTGCCACAATACCCTTAACTGTAACCAGTCAGATGGTGTTATTCCACAACAGGCTATCTTTGACTCCAATGCAGTGTACACGTCCCTGTACCACAACAGATTCATGACAAACCCAAAAGCATTTGACATGCTCAACTTTAAAATGTGACAGATGGAAATTCTGGTTTTGCAATACAGTGAAACTGCTGCATATTTTCACTTTCGTGTCTTAAAGTCATTGGTGTGTCGCTTAGATCACAAGTTTGCCACAATAGGCTCATATAAACTCCAAGTTCCATGTAACATAAACTAATTGCCAAGATCTTCCAAGAATTTCACACCAGGCTCTGAAATAACCCTAACAATAATAATGGATGATCCGGTGAGGTCACAATGTGCCACTAATATCTTTAATTCAAAAGAACATCCGAGGTTTGTTTCACTTCATCCTGGCACAGGAAAATAAACACCAGTCTGCAAGCAGCTTACCTTGAACCACACTACACTTCTCCAAAATCATCCCTCTAATAATTTCAACCAAGGACTTCTCTGAGGAACTAAGGACTTCCTGTCACTATCCCTGGTGTAAAATAAAAAAGGTCAAGACAGGATAATATAGTGACTGTGTTCTTTCTTGTTTGCTATGTTACCGCAGTACATTTCTCCTGATTTTCTTTCTCAAACAGAGATGCCTTTGTGCAGGCGAAGTGCAGGTGAACCTGACCACCGAAACAGCCAGTGTATTACAGAGCCAGAAATAATTTCCCTCAAGGACACTAGTGTCCATTTGGTTTGTCACAAAAACAAATGGACATGCCTCTTTTGCAGTATATAATGGACTTTCCTTTAAAATAACCCCAAGCAACCCCAAGTAGCTTTAAGTGATATCTGACAGCTAATCTCCAAAAACTAAATGAACTCCAGTGAGGGGAAAAAAAACCCTCTTCCTGTGGGGCTTAAACTCAAAATCCCACAGGAATAAGTCGCAGGTTCGGGTGCCACTCCCTACTGCTCCTTAGTATAGATTTTTGGTGGTAGGCATACTTTAATACCAACAACTTTCCAAAGACCTTAAAAAAATAAAGGACTGAAGGACTTTCTAAGGACTTAAGGTCATCATCAATGTACACATACAGGCAGCGCAGGACAAGAGTGTGCGTAGTGCAAAGATCAGAGCACAGCATGTAATCGTGAAAGAGATGAGAAAACCCACCAAAATGATAACAAAATAAAAAGAAAAGGAAAAAGAAAAACGTGCTATAATCTTTGTTATGTGTCCATGATGAGAAAACACTGAACAAGATGGTGTTAACGATGGACAGCATGTCTCCAATGTGATTCGAAGCCCACTGAATGTGCACATGACACCTTTGGGAGAAACTTTTAGTAGACAGAAGAGACAAAGTTGAACTTGTTGGCAAAGATAAACAACATACTTTGAGGGAAAAGGGCACTCTATACTAAGGGTAAAAGCTCAACTCAACTAGGCTGGATATTTAAAAGCTGATATGATTTTTGAATATTCAAATAGTAATTAAAAAATGAGATACTTTATGCCTTAATAATTCCTTGGTTTTTTTTACTGGCATTTGCAAGGATATAATACACTACTATCACCCAAAAGGGATGGTAATGCACATGCAAAGCCAAATACAGTGAGAGCTGTCAAAAACCTTCAAATAGAACTTAAAAAATAATGCAGCAAAGCTAGCATATCACAAGTCTGCCACAACTATACAACAGTCATCAGAGAGGAGTATGTTGGAAGGATGTCTTTGTAGAATATTATATTTGATTAGAAATGCCTGTTAATCCAAACCTTGAAGCAGGGTGGAGGTAGCATTATGGGTTGGAGCTGTTTTGCAAGTTCAGAAGACTTTCCAATCGAAAACACTGAATTTAATTTTTGTGTTTAATTCAGCAGTCTACGAGCAGAAGATTTTGAAAGGCTGGGTCATACAACAGGACACTGATTCAAAACATATAAAAAAAATACAGATAAGCCCATGTCTCAAGCCACCACGAATTTCTTTAAATGTTGCTTCCAAGGAGCCAGACTTTATTGTAACTGTTTAAAGTGGTTATGAGCAACAATTCTCCAGGCTTTCTGAACGTTTTTCAAAACTTTTTTCTTAACTAACTGGCTGCTTTTTGATTGATTGAGTATCTGAGTATTTTTAGAGAAATTATTTTCATTTATTTGTTTATTTATTTCACTTAACACTGACAAGCATAAACAAGACACCTAACTCAAGGGATGAACGAGTGTTGTGTCTACACATAGCAGACAACTTAGCAACAAACTCATTTTAAATTGCATCTTTCGACAGTTCGTTACTATTTTTGCTCCAAGTTGATTGCCAAATAGCCATTAGCTAAAAACTTGGCATACGTCAGCATGAAGAAATTGCACAAGCGGAGGACAAAAGAAGAAGTTTCAGGCATAAAAATAATTTTGCAGTATACGAAAATGAAAAAAAAAATGCAGCAAAGAAGCCATTTTTAAGGAAGGGAAACAGGGAGAAAAAGCTGAGGTAGATATGAGCTCAGCTAAAAATCAGCGACAGCTGGTCTTATAGAGTGATGAATTTGAAGCTTTGGGGTCAAAGTGTCATAGGAGGAGGTCAGGAGAGAGGTACAACTGGGAGTATGTACAGCCAAAACACGGTGGAGGCTCAGTCATGGTTTGGGGTTGCATTTCAACAAGGGGTGTTGGGAATCTTATCAAAACTAATGGAATTATGAAAGCACAAAAGTGCCCCTAGATTTTGATCGACGATGCAATACCAGCAAACATCCTAGAAGAGCTTTGCATGTAATTCCAGAAGAACTATTCCTGAAGACTACCCATAGAAATTACAAGAAAGCTACCTGTGAGATATCAGGTAGTGTTGAAGAACAAAGGTAGACATACCTTTGTTAGAAGGGGTGGCTTCTAATGATCTTAGAAGCCACCCCTAAAGAAATGAGGTGTGGTACAACACTTGCACAGTAATGACATCTCACTCATGACTGTGTCTTTCCAGTTAAGATTATGACGGCCTATTAGCGTAACTTAGCAGAAGACCACATCGCAACTAATTAATTCTGGTTAATTCTGAAAGGTCAGCACTTTTTTCTTGCAACTGTACACATGTGGACAGAAAGATGGACCAGTGCTGCCAGCACTTATTGCAGGCAGGAAGTTTTATTACATTCACTTAGATTGATACACGCTATAAACTCCTCTGTGTTTGAAACATCTCTCAATATTCCCTTGGCAACTACTTCACAAATTTCCATTTAAGTGCCGCAAACATTTATAGGACCTCCAAAGCAACAAAGAGCATCACTTTACTAACGTCTTCTACGCCCTGTTATCACGTACCATACAGCAGAGATGACTAAGGAACAGCGTGTTTTGGATCCCTTCATCAGTTCACAGTTGTTGAAAGTATTACACCCAGATCTCAGGGTTGTGTCAACAGCATCCAGTCCAGGCTTGTTGCTCCAAATGTGCTGGAGTTGAATATCAATTTTAAGCGACAAAAATCAGCTTTTTTCCACCATATTTTGACACTGTGTGGTACAAATAATGTATCATTTGAAGATAATGAGGTGAGAAATCATATATGAAAAGACTAAATGGTAAATGGCCTGTATTTGTATAGCGCTTTCCTAGTCCTTAAGGACCCCAAAGCGCTTTACACACTCAGTCATTCACACACTGGTGATGGCAAGCTACATTGTAGCCACAACTGCCCTGGGGCGCACTGACAGAGGCGAGGCTGCCACCGGGCCCTCTGACCACAACCAGTAGGCAACGGGTGAAGCGTCTTGCCCAAGGACACAACGACCGAGACTGTCCAAGTCAGGGCTCGAACCTTCCGATTACAAGGCGAACTCCCAACTCTTGAGCCACGATTGCTCCGACTAATCCTACCTTGGTCTGATTCTAGCTTTTCAAAGGAGGATCCTTGCACTTAACAATTTTTCCAGCACTTCCCAGCACTATGTGGCAATAACTACATAACTATGTGATCTGGATCCAGCAAGTCAAAGACATTGATTAGTTTCCCGTTATTATTTTTCCATTTTAGCTAATACTTAGTAAATCCTGATAAAAGTCTACATAAGGCTGTTATGGGGCAGTTGACTTGCTAGTCTACGTCAGCACTACATATCAGCAGTGACAGTGTTTTCTAAAGCCACAATCCACTCACACTTTATAAAGAGGTCCTTGACCACAAAACTGTTGCCTAGAACGCGGAAAAGAAAATGAAAAGAAAAGAAATTCAGGCCAAAAACTTGAGATCATTCTTCACAGCCCATTTGTACAAAGCAGAATTATCACAGCTTCCGCTCTCAGCCCATCTGCCCAGCCCTGGGGCATCAAATCAAGGGATGGAGAGGACAAGGTCTAACAACTGCTGACTCACAAAGAATGTACACCAGTGATGTCATGCTCTCACACATGTTCACAGTAATGAGAGGTCTGAGACATAAACCGTTTAAAACTACTTTATAAAGACATATCCTGATCTTATAAATTAATCATTCTAACCACATTTGTGTGCCTAGCCTGCCAATGGCAATATTACTACAGCAATGCGATAAAATCATAAGAGCTCTTACATGTATTTTGTGACTCTGTAGTAATAAAAATGAGAAGAAGAACAGCTCCTTATGAACTTAATATCCGAGAAACATCGAGTTACAAAACAGAGCTCTCCTGTTTTCCACTGCATGCACATGCTTTGCGGCTGCTGATGGGAAAACTTCCGTGTTTTAATCTGCTGTTTATAGCTTCAGTGTTTTATCAGCAAAAAACTGTTTGCGCTAAAAATCCCAGAACACCTCGCCTGGCCTTTAGCTATGGACAAAAATGCATTTAAGCAGGACCGAGAATATTTCATTAGCTTAAAATAAATCAATCCGAGGCGGTAACACAGTCGGATAAAATTACATGTAATCCAACCCCCCCAGAGCGACCTTTAGTTAGGTGGTCCTCTCCACAGCAAGAGTCAGCAGAGCAGGGACGGGAAACGATGTCTCATGTCGGTGCTCAGTTAGCAGTCTGCGGCAGCTAACTGGTTATATACCAAACACCCTGAAAAATAACAAAAGACCCACCTGTTTTGCTAAAGCTGGTGTCTCTCGCCTCCTCCGCACTCTGGTGAAACATTTCTCAAACAGGCTTCAGAAGCTGAGGCAGCTCGGACATCAGGCCGGAGCCCCGTTATGCTGCTACGGTAGGAGAAACCCGCAAGAAGGCTAGAGCGGTGCGGGACCGTCGGCTCCCACAAAGAGCTCTGTCCGAGCAGGGACGGGGGAAAGTACGAAATTATACAGTTTTTCAAAATAAAAGCACAGCCCTCTCATCTCACTCTCGCTCTGTCTCTCTCACTTCTGTTTCCCCCTATTTTCTTTTAGCTTTCCTTTTTAAGTTTTATTAAATTAGATAAATAGGTTAGTTATATATCTACTCCCAGTCGGTCGCGGCAGATGGCTGCCCCTTCTGAGACTGTTTCTGCTGGAGGTTTCTTCCTGTCAAAAGGTTTCTTCCCACACTTACCTTACAGTATAAAGTCTGTGAGACAAATGTTGTGATTTGGGGCTATATAAATAAAATTGAATTGAAAAATTGAATTGAATTGAATTGAATAGAATAGAAATAAAATTAAATACAACGGAATTGAACTGAACTGAACTACAGCCCTCTTTAAACTTAAGTGGGCCAGTGAAAGTCTGCATTTCTGTAAGTGTAAAGAATTGTAATTACACACTTAACATATCTTAAGATAATAATAAAAAGTGCAATTCATCTTTTCGTTTTTCTACATGACAAAGAAGGGCTCCTTTGGTACATAAAAAAACGCTGTCAGTCCATTTGTTTGGGCTTGTAAATTGTAGGAAATAAATGTGTAAAATTACACATTGCTCATTGGTCAGAATGTCCTGTAATTATAAAAGAGAAGGGTTTTGCTAATCGACAAACAAAACACAACTGTATAAGTTATAAATGTGTTAAAAAAATGTAAACAGTGAAAAAATTCAAATCAATACTTTACGCGATCTAACCCCCCCCCCCCTTTTTTTTATTTTATTTTTTTTACATTTACAGTAACTTTAAGGGTTTAAAAATAGCAACAACAATAAAAAATCACACTCATCTTCATTCACCAGCAATTTCTTCTTTCGGCTCTTCCACAAATCTCTGCAGTGATTGCACGGTGGAACTGTGCATACATTTTTAATAACTACCCCACATACAGCATCTAATTTCATTGGTACACTTGCACATAAATTTATGGTAGTTTAGGTAGGTCATTCCAAAAATTTTAGATGAACTTGTCACATTTCTTCAATTTTTAAGCTGACTGGGCTGCTTGTGTCTGTTCATCCACATCCCAGATTGACTTTGGGCCACCTCAAGTCTAAATATTATCGGAAATGTGCTCAACCTCATTCCAAGCATTATATATTCACTTCAGAACAGATGCAAAAAGCCTTCAAATCAAACTTTAGATGGAACTGTTCCCACTGAATAATACATGTTTGCCTAAAGTGAGGGCTTATGAATAAGGTATGAATCCTCCCTGTAATGATCATTTGTGCAGAATATCATATAGTACAGTCCATAACATGTTAATAAACAAACAGCATTTAGAGATAATATATTTTAAGGTGTAAATACTTGCTGTGAAAAGGTATTTGCCCCCTTTCTGATTTGTTAGGGTTTGTTTTTTTTGCATATTTGTCAGGCTTATATTTCAGATCATCAAACAAATTTTAATATCAGACAAAGATAACTTGAGACAATACAAAATCCAATTTTTGAATGGCTTTGTATCCATTTCCAGACTGAAAATGACTTTCTCAGCTGCCCTTCAGTTTCTTTACGTCGTGGCATAACGTGTTGGGTTTTGAGATTACTTAGCCTACTTCACTTTGTCAGACAATTACTATTAAGTGATTTTTTTGATTCAACAGGTCTGGCAGTAATCAGGCCTAGGTGAAGTTAGTGAAACTGAACTTAGCTTGTGACAAATGTGACAAGTATGAAATAAGAAATTTTCACAGCACTAAAACCTTCTAGTTTAGAAATGTGTTTATTTAGTTCATCTGTATCACAAGTCATACAAGTGAGCCCTGTGCTTGCTCTGTCACAGTAACAAAGAACTATAATACCCAGAAACTGCACATGGACCCATCACAGAGACAGTGTGCCACCGAGTTCCACTTTTAAGACATCCATACCTTTCCCTTAACCCACACAGCTCAGTGCATTTTTCATTTGTGCTCATTGCCATTCAATTAACCTCCACAGGCCTGCAGCAGCCTTGGCCACAACCTACTGGAACATTGTAAAATGTTTTGTTATACATTGTGTCCTTACCGCTTCAATTCCCACTAAAGCCTTGGGAAACAATGAGGTGATGAAAAGTGTCTGTGAACTACTCAGTTAATGCTAATAATATGATATATGATTCTGGATTTGTGAAACAATGGCCATCCCAGAGGTGCAAAATCTGAATCTGAGACATTCAAGACTGTATTGACCCTCATGTGAGTGACTCCACAGAAATACCTGACCTCTCCAGATATTCAATGTAATTCAAACTTTATTTTTTCTGTCATAAATGAAAAACAACCTTTGCTGTGGAGGGCTTTGTGGTAGGTTTTTGGCAGGTTTAGCTCCTTAGCCAGAGAAGCTGAACTTTGTTAGAATTTCCTTCAGTGTATGCAAACAGAATTTGAACCTGCTAGGTGGTCCAGCTTGGGGTAGTTTGAATAACTATATAGACATCTGAGATGTTTATTATATAGTAATGCATCATGCTCATGAAATCGGCAGCTACAGTAAAGCATACTAACACGGGACTAACACAGCAGGAAAAGAATCAGTATTTGTTTGTATTGACTGATGAAGGTCTATCAGGAAGTAAGGTGTGGACATAGACCATATCACAAATTCATTTTGTTTCAGAAGTGTTACTTATATTTACAGCTCATTTACAGCTGTTTAATGTTCAATGTTTTTAATGCATATGTATCTTAATATTTGGTTATTTTAAACAAACGTCTTGTTTATAGTAAATACTTCTTTATGTCTCCTCCTTGCAGGTTGAGGTGTGGATGTCCATATGTCCCAGTCTCACAATATGACCACAATATCTGTAGGACACCAACTGCTGGATTGAGTGATTATAATTCCGTGGTCAGAGGTCAAGGTCATTGTAAGTAAAATCTGCAACATGCTACATGAGCGTGGAAATGCATGTGTTGAAATGTTAAAGGTGGATGTGATGTAGTTACTAAAATCCGTGTTTCTCAGGTTATCTTGGTTAAAGGAAAGAAGAGCTATTAAAGGCATTTATCAACAAATTGATATGATGAAAGAATGAAAGATAGGAAAACTAAAATGTTCAGTTTATGTTTACATACTTGTTTACTATTGGACTGTTTGTCTGTGCTGCTGAATTGGCTATTTAAATCTTCGTTTTATCAGAGAACACAATGTTGGATAGCTGTGGAGTTATTTTTCTGTCAAAAGTCAGAAATGAAATTATTTTCTCAAATTGATAGAAAAAGAATTCCATAGATCACTTGTATCTTTAGTTTAACATTTTGGTTCAAATTCAATTAACGAAATTCTTGGGATATGTGAATTTTTTTTGCTTAAAGATTTACAGAACTTCAAGTAAATGGTAGAGAAGATAAACTATAAAAATATGGAGTTATCCGTAATGGGGTTTATGGAAAGACAATAAAATAGACACGTTTCTTCCTGTTAAAGAGAAGTTTTTCCTTCCCACGGTCCTTAACGTAAAAAGGGCCTCGCTGTTGTGATTTGTTGATAAATAATAAAACTGAGTTAACTTGAACTGAATTAGCATAATAGTTACACAAAAATACCTGTAGATGACCAGGTTGTGAACATTGTTGTCAGCTTATTATTGTAAGTAAAAAACAAAGAAACACACTAAACACATCTCAAACATAACTGAGATGTCTCCAAAAGAAATTCACGTTACGGCTTTCATTTAGAAATATGCTTGCCTTTGTAGGAAAAATAAATCATTTAATGCATTTTATTTTGAAAATGTAGGTGCGTGATGTCATCAGAGTGCGACAACATCCACGTTGATAAATCATTAGCAATTTCATCTGCGACTGAAAAAGGACTTTTACCGTTTGAACACAGCCGTGAAAATGTTGTTTTTACAGAAGTGTCTGACACTCAGTTATTCTTCGAGCACTGCGCGAGCGGTCAGCCGCTCTCTTTGGTCTCACCGTAACCGTTCAGTTTTGCGCAGACTCTGTGCTGTGGCTCACTGTCCAACCGCAGCCGGGACAGGCGGGACAGGGCTGCTCTCTTCACAGGACAACATAGGTTTTCGTCTTCTGTCACCCGCTTACAGGTGCACACCTCGTTTCGGTAGTTACGGACTCTCAATTTCACGGAATGTCAGCAGTGAGGCATTGGGACAGATTCAGTCAACACACTATCACCTCGTTTACACGTGCAAGGTAGCGCACGCACACTGTGTTGAGGTAGTTTTTGTTTACTTTTTCTTTTAAAGTCATGTATATGACACGCAGACTGTGTCCTGTTCGCAGGTTTGCTCCACCAGATCCATGCAGAAGATCTCTAAGCTGGCTTACCACAAAGGTGTCGTCATAGTCACGTGTTCAGGATGCAAGAATCACCACATCATAGCCGATAACCTCAAATGGTTCACCGACTTGGAAGGGAAAAGGTTGGTAGTGCCGTGGACTCTTCACTGATTCAAAACAACATCCCGAGGGTGTATTGGGTCCTTTAATCTGGCAGTATTTGTGGTTCATGTGATTAGAGCGTCTGATCTAATAATGAAACAATGATAAGCATCCCAGAATAATTTTAAAGCAGTCTTCTCTGCTGCAAGAAGGAGGGGATGATTTAACTTAGCCTTAAACATTAATGAAATTCTTGATATTTTTTTCCCAACAGTGTACAGTACAAAGTCTCTGTAGGGTAATTTTAACGTTTTTAATATTAAGTTATTTTCTTGTGTGCAGTAAAGATTTTTTTTGGTACAGACAAATATGTATAAGATTCCATACAAAGTGAGTGTAAAATAATAATTAAAAACAAATCAGTCGAAAAGATTTAGTTTTCTCCCTGCAGTGGCTCTGTTGTGTAGTGGTTAAATAATTTGCCTTACATGTATAAGATGCTGGAGGACAGACAAACAGAGCCTCAGAGTGGCTCTGTTGGTGGAGGGAAGGGCATCCAGCACAAAATCTGTGCCAAATCAATGTGGATCCGTCGGCTGTAGGAACTACTTGAGAAGCATCCATCTACTAGTATCTACTATTCCTTGGAGTTACTGTATATAGAGCCAGTACCTGACAATCATTTGTCTGCATGAAAAAGCACCATGAATCAGCATTAACTGCATGACTGTATCGCCTTATATTACTTTAGTGGTATGTATAAACACCAATATAATTGTAAAACTATTAGATTAACCTGGCGAGTTTATTAGTCACCAATTAGTAATGTCTGATTTTTTATTTTTTTTTTACTTTTAATACCGACTCTTACGTGTTGTTTATTAACATAACAGCAACATCATAAAATATTATCTGCGACATGTCTGAATCGCAGCAGGTAATTGATATCTCTGTTTCAGCAAACGACTGCTGCTGCAGTATATTTCAGTATAATTTTCAGTGTTGGTCTTTTGCTTCAGAAACATTGAGGAAATCCTCGCTGCCAAAGGAGAGACAGTGAAGAGGGTTGAAGGAGGTGCTGCTCTGGAGATAGTGATGGATCAGTCCACAGAAGACAAGCCACAGTGTGCTGAAGACACAGAGGAGTCTAGCAGTGATCCAGAAAAACGATAACGCTCTGCTTGTACTGTAATGTTTATACTGTAAAATTGCTATATTTAATTTATTAATAAAATCGCATTTTTTGAAATTTCTTTTATTTTTTCATCGTGCATTTTGATCATTTTAGTGTATATGATAAGCTTTCAAAAGAAGGTGCTGGAAGTATAAATCCAACAACTAACTGTAGTTGAAGCAAGAATAGTTTTTAATTAAATAATAAAATAACTATCTCGAACTGTAATGTGTGTATAGGAAAACATCGAAGTTATTATTATTATTATTTTTGTTGTTGTTGTTATTTATTTAAAAAAAAACATTATTGCGCTCCAAATGACCCTGTGGGCGTTCCGTTGGGAACGACTAATCTCGCGACATCTCGCATTGTCGCGTACAGTAAACGTGTAAACATATGACAAGTAGTTCTCAGCTAAGCTAGCTATATTTTGCAGTCTATAGAATTGACTGCAATGGACACTGCAGGAGCCCAGGACGAGGCGGACAGGCCCCGCCATCGGCCTTTCCTGATCGGTGTCAGCGGAGGAACGGCCAGCGGCAAGGTCCGTCATGTTTAGGGCTTGTATGTGATTTAGCATCCCGGCTAGCTTTGCGTACTCTGCTATTGGCGCCAATATTAGCGTTTATCAACCTGACAAAAACAAATGTCACACTCACTTACCCGGGAAATACGTATGTTGGTCATAATTACATGTCTGCTGTGTTCATTTTATACTATATTTGTGACCTGGTGGCGCCCAAGACTTGTCCAGCTAACTAGCCGCTGTAATGAAACTGTCAGTTCTTTATAGACCTGGAGTCAGCTAATAAATACCGAGGTCACTGATACAACGTTTCACTTCAGACTGTTGCTCAGGACATCAACTAAAACAGAATTTAATATTGTGCTTTAATACAGTCAAAGGCATTACCGACAACAAAAGTCGATTTTTATTTATTTATTTACAGTCGACCGTCTGTGCAAAGATCATGGAGCTCCTGGGTCAGAACAAGGTGGACCACCGCCAGAGGAAGGTGGCAATTATAAGCCAGGACTGCTTCTACAGGGTCCTGACTCCAGATCAAAAAGCCAAAGCGATCAAAGGCCAGTACAACTTCGATCACCCAGGTAGGCTCATGCTACAAGTAGGATTTTTTCCCCTCTGCCAAATCTGATCACGACAGACCCAGTCGGTGTATTTGTAAGATCACTCTAATAGAGGTATAGGAGAGTTAAAAACCTACCTGTATTGTAAAATAGCATGCATATATATTTTGTTATGCTGTTTTAAGGGTGTTGTTAATTATAAAAGACATCCAGATATTGTTACTGGATGATCTAACATCTGTAGTAAATATAAAATCCTGTGGAGGAAAAAAAAAAAGTAAAACACAATCAGGAGCAAAAAACCACAGAAACAGAAAATTCAAAGTCTGACATGATGAATTGCAATGCTTAGATTTTATTTAGAGTTTGGGGTTGCTATTTCTGAGCAGGTGACAATATATGGTCTGGAAGCAGTGCTTTAGTTAAGTACACTTGTGTTAACACGTGTGGGTTTAGTGGGTAATGCTGAACATGGGCTCTGTGAAATTATGCTCCTTACATGCCTCGTATTATGTACTTCACATATTTATTGATTTAATCATGTTTTTGCTGTTTTATACAGTGAATTAGACACATAAGGCTAGTCCTTCAGTGTTTCGGTTTAATGTCTTTCAGAGGCATTTGATAATGAGTTAATGTACCAAACGTTGAAGGATATCGTGGAGGGGAGGGTAGTCGAAGTGCCAACATATGACTTTGTCACCCATTCCAGGTAGGAAGGAAGCTCTTTGTGGTTCTAAGCCTTGATATTCTTTATAAAAAAATAAAGTCCTCTGTCCTCACCTCATTTATTGTGTTTATAGGCAGGAAGAGAGGATCACAGTTTACCCAGCGGACGTAGTCCTCTTTGAGGGGATCCTCGTTTTCTACCCACAGAAAGTGCGCGACATGTTTCACATGAAGCTGTTTGTGGACACAGATTCAGACGTCAGACTGTCTCGCAGAGGTATCGGTGACTCCCTTACACATGTGAAAACCAAACCAAAAATTTATGTTATTAAAAAAAAACAAAAAAACTTTTTTATGTTTCTTAAGATTTCAAAACTTTCAAAATAACATGAACAAAATAACTTTCATTTACCAGTCTTTGTTGATTTTCTATTAATTTCTAAGTTTAAGATGTCAAACTGTGCTATTTGTTGGGATTATTGTGGTTTGGTAACAATACGATGATCTAATCCATAAAAAGCTTTATCATCAGAGGCCAAAAATAGAAAACTTGCCAGCAGAACTAAGGGGGCTCATTTTGTTGGCTGACTGGCCAGGTCAGGCCCAAATGTGTATTTGGCTGAGCATTCAACCCTTACATCAGAATCAATTAGCTGAAAAGCTGGCATATCTTGCTGTGGTGCAGTGAACAGTATTTGAAAGTCATGTCCTAAAGAAATGGGGCGAAAAGATCCAACAAAAGCCTGACACAGGATCTGGCCCTTCAATAGATCTGTCACTGAAGCTTCATCAGAAATGGTCTCAGTGGAAGGGTGGCTGTCAAGAAACCGTTGTTAAGGAGGGGAAACAGGAAGAAAAGGCTGTGGTATACCAAATAACAGAAAAACTACACTGTAAATCAGTGGCAACAGGTCTTAAGGCGTGATGAATCTGAATTTCTAAATTTTAGGTTTAGATGGCTGTCTATATACAGAGGAGGTCAGGAGAGCGTTTAGTCATCTGCTCATCACAGCAGAGGCTCTGTCATGGTTTAAGGCTGCATTTCGACCAGTGGCTTTGGGGATCTTGTCAAAATTGAAGGAATTATGAACACAGAAAGTTGCAGTCAGAAGTTGATCGAACATACAGAACCATCTGGAAAATGTGTGATATAAAGCAGCTTGAGTTTTTATCATGACGATGATCTCAAACAAACTATTAATGCAGCAAAAACACAGATGGATTAAAGAACAATCATACAATGGAACATTATAGGTCATGGATTGGCCTCCCCAGTGTCCTGATCTGGACATTACTGAAGCATTGTGGGATCCTCCTGACAGAGAGCAGAACAAAAGGCAGCCAACACCCAAAGAAGCCTGAAGCACTATTCCTGCAGGCTACTTACAGAAATGACAGGAGCGAGACCTGTGTTCATCAGAACTAATATTCCAAATCACTAGAACTCAATTTTTCTTTATATACGGGTATTTCCATGCAAGTTTGAATCAATTACTGTACCCATTTCCTATTTTTTTTCTAGCAAAATATAAAGAAACTGAGGATGACTCACGAATTTTGTACCATAGTAATATTAATAGATATTACAGACAGTGAAATGAAGAGAACACAAATATGGGAAAGTCCAGTTGTTCTTGATGGCATCATCACTTGTCTTTGGGATTCAGTTTTTGGTCTAATCTTTATATGCTGCGTCACATTTTTACAGTTGATATTACTTCATATCCTACTTTTTTCTTTTTTTTTTCTCCTCCTGTAGTTCTGCGAGACATGAGCAGAGGGAGAGATCTCGAGCAGATTCTCAGTCAGTATACAACATTTGTGAAGCCAGCTTTTGAAGAGTTTTGTTTGCCTGTAAGTGTGGTGGTCAGCCCCGATTATGCGCTTATTTGTTCAGCATCTTATTCTGTTAAGCAGACACACATTACATTTGTTTCTAAAGACATTTTGTTCTTCCCAGACTAAGAAGTATGCAGATGTCATCATTCCAAGAGGAGTCGACAATATGGGTGAGTGCTTTTTCCTTAAGAAAATGAATACATTTCAGCATTTTCTTGCTCTCTGTAGAGTCAAAAAAACAGAAAAACCCCCAACTCGTTTTTTTCTGATTTCCATCAGTGGCCATTAACCTCATTGTGCAGCACATCCAAGATATTTTAAACGGCGAAATCTGCAAATGGCAGCGTGGATCCGTGAACGGCCAAGCACGTGCTCTTAAACGGGTCCTGTCTGAGCAAGGTGACCTACAGAACGGATCCGCTAACGCCCCAGGAAAGAGGGTCCTCCTGGAGCCCAGCAGTCGGCCTCACTGAGACTGTATCGATTTGAATCGATTGGCTTTGAGCTTTAATCGCTGCTACAGATTGTATTTAATTTTTTTTTTTTCTAAATGTGAAGTGTGTTGGACACGCTCTGCATTATTTTAAAATATTACCCATAATCACATGTTGCAGGGATTTAGTGCTGCAACGTCTTTCCCATTTAACTGCAGTTATTGGTGCATTACCAGACTCTTGAATATGTTTTTTGTTTTTAAACAAGCAGTCTTCCATGATGCTTTAATTTGTTTTTTGTTTTTGTTTTCAGTGTTAAGTCCAGTCATGTGACCTGTGTCTGAGACTGGAGGTCTTATAATTGAGGGTAGGAAGTGTTTCTGTACAGTAGATGCTGACCTATAGTCATGCTTTTGCACTTGGAGTGACCCTACTGTTAAACTGAGTCATGCTTCTTTATTGCTTTCAGATTAATATATTGAAATGATAATGCAGATGTCTTGTACGTTTCTCTTTTAAATCAAGTCAGAGCCAGATGTGTTGCACCTAGTTTCATATCGAGCACATCCTTAATTATTTAATAATGGATCTATGCCTTAATTTGTTTACTTCCACTCGTTATTTGTGTACGACAATAAACTGAAACTGTTAAACTTTATTCAAGTGTCAGTCGATTTGAGAAAAGGAGGGTGGGGTGGAATGGGGGTGGTGGATCTTGTGACCAACACAGTGTGTATAGAAAGAGCCGTTTGCTTTATTGGAGTTTGAGAGCACAGTGTGATGTGTTGGTTTTATCCCCAAAAAGGAATAAAAAAAATGATTTTACTACAGCACATTTTTGGAATGACACACACACACAAGTCACAGAGGACTTCAGTCACACACAGTCTTTCACACACTAACATGACCGGGACGTGACTGTGATTGCCTGATGGTTTCTCTACACTTGAACACGGCACTCGATGATTCAGAATGATGTACACAGATCACAGCATCTTTAGTTATTTATCTTTTTGTGTTTTTGCTTTGCTTATCTTTTTTTTTTTTTCTTTCAAGTGCACGTGTATGGCACTTGGGAGAAGCGGAGCTCTTCTCATAAGCATAAACATCCTTTTTAAGAACAAAAGGAGCACTGTATATAATACATTTCATAACCATACATGATTCTTACACAAAAATGTTGCAAAACATAGGTTTCCAGTCTATCATGGCCATCCTCTCCTCTAAGTCCAAATCTCCCACCTCCCAGCCTCGTGCCCACAGCGAGCCCTCGGGGGTCTGCGGCCCGCCCGTAGATGTCACAGTTTGTGTCAGGCTGCCGTTTGAGGGGAACTCGAGTAGGGAGAGGGCTGAAGAAAACCAATAGATGGCACATACATGAGGAAGAGGAAGGAGCGGCTTGAGAGTAATGGACCATTCAGCTCACACACTCACATGCGCGCGCGCGCGCGCACACACACACACTCGCGCAGCAGCTCCACTCTAAAACAGAAAGCCCAGGGAGCAGACTTTGGTCATTTCCGTAGTGTCTCCCTGCGATTCTTCCCCTCCTTGGCACCGGTCTACCTGTTGTCTCGCCGCAGCCACAGAATGTCTCCAATAATCCCAATTATAATCTCCCCGAGCAGTAGAGCTCTTTGTAAACCTCGATGACGCTTCAGTTGTCTGTAGTTTGTTCTCAACCCCCTCCCCCCACCCACAATGAGTCTCCCATCAGCCTCTGCGGGTAGCCTCCGTTCGTCTCTCTTTCAGTCTGTAGTAAAGTGGAGTTAGTGTCATGAAGCACAGTTGGAGGTCAGTGTTGGAGGCCCTCCTCCCCTCCGCGGGCCCTAGGTCTTCTCCTCGCGGTCCGTCTTGCGCCTCGAGATGTTTCTGGGTTTTATCTTCAGCGACAGCTCCCAGAGGGCCTCCTCGGCCAGGTGATCGCTGAAGTCGTTGAAGAACGAGACGATGTCTTCGTTGCGCTTCAGCTCATAATGCCTGAGATGAGGAGAGGTAATTCATTACTGAGAAAGCAAAGCAGTCTGTGTGAAGATGACAGCCATGTTTTATGACATTAAAATTTAATGGAGAACAAAGCAGGAACACATTAGTGTTCCTTCCAGTGGCAAACGATGATGACATTTATTGCTGCGATTGATGTGTTCAGTGGCTTCTTATTAAATCCTACTTATTCCGATGGACCTACACTTGTTGGAAGCGCCGCATACTGTCCAGAATGTTGAACTGCTGCCAGCGTTTGGAGAAATTGACCTTCCCGTCGATCAGGTCAGGGTTCCCCAGGTGGACGAAGGTCAGGTCCTGGAGGATGAGACCCCTGTGGAGAAGAGTGGAAGGAATAAATGAACCAGTCGTGGCTAGACGCCCATCTCGATGAGTCATGCGCATTTACTCACAAGTACGGGATGCACGGGGGCTCCACTTCAGCCAGTGCAGCTCTGTATGCCCTGAAGGAGGAGGAGCTGTCGATCAGTGTGCAATACTCCTCCAATCCCTGAGGGAGAAGATTTGGGGATGTTTATTAAATTAAATAACAGCTGTGATACCCGAGGAGATTTTTAATTTCTCTTCCTAAATTCGCAATCGTCTCACCTCTGAGGTCTGCTTCTGCCACTCCAACCTCCTGATGGGGGCCGAGTCCAAAGCAGACAGTATTGCCAAGTAGGAGTTGAAGTTATTCAACTTTCTTAAGTGCTGTAATAAAAATAAATATGACTGTTAAATGCTGTTAAACAGGGAAACTCCTGGTGATTTGTACGGTTTGTAAGACTTAAACCAACCTTCATTATCTTAATGAACTTGAGAAGCAGCTTTTCTCTGTCTTGAGCTTTCTCTTGCTGAATTATCAAAGAGCGAACCCTGCAAGGAGACAGAGAGAGACACGGTGGGGTGTCGGCGTTTATTGAGGCGAGATGGTATGAGACGAAAGCCACAGAATTTAATTATAGGGGAGGAGATGTTGAGTTAAGCGTTACAGTGTCTGATGAGGTTTGTGTTTAGTTTTTTTTTTGTCATACCAATAGCTCATGTTGTTAAAGTGCTCTGTGAACTGAGTCAGGTTCGGACTCTTCTCCTCATTCTGCTCCTTGGCCCAAAGTAGAACTTCGGGAATCTGAAGGAAAACGCAGAGGAGAGCAGAGCACAAAGTTGGGATTGATTATGTCTCAAACCACAAATAATCGGCAGATCGGTGAAAGATTTAACGCAGCAACGAAGGCACCGTACCTCAATTTTATAAAAAAGTTCAGCGTCGAGAAGCGTGAGCTGATCGGCGATCTCGTGACTGCGAAAGTCGTGAAGAGTTCCAGGCCTGATGAAAAACACACAAATCATTAGATGGAGTCTGAAACTGAAGCGACACAACCTCCTACTTTCCCATCTGTCCCGAAGAGCAAAAAAGCCTTACAAACACAACAACAGTCATCTCGAGGTGCTTTATGCTGTAAGGTAAAGACCCAACAATCAGACAACCACTTTGACCAAACTCTTGGTGACAGCGGGAAGGAAAAACTCCCTTTTAACTGGAAGAAACTGCATTTATGGCAATTGCTATATGTCAAGGCACATCCCCACAGGAAGTGACTAGCAGAGACAAAAGAAAGTCAATGACATTCACATGTCCACAGGCAAAAAAACACTATGTGTCATGTGTAGTGGGTGGGTACCAAATGAAACTTTCCTCAACTTCAAGGGGGATAGTTGAAATGGCTGCCAATTAGATCGCAGGATACCAATGATTGACAGGTGACAGGGTGGCAAATATACAACACACACAAAGCAGAACCGCCAAAACTGTAGTTCTAGCATAAAAGATGGATGTAGTGGGTGCTGCTATACGTCGTGTGGATGAGTGGCATAATGGCAGCCCTCCCTGAACCTGAGTCTGTTTCTGCTGGAGGTTTCTTCCTGTTTAAAGGGAGTTTTTCCTTCCTATTGTCACCAAGTACTTGCTCATAGGGGGTCACCTGATTGTTGTGACTTTCCCTGTATTATTGTAGGGTCTGTACCTTACAATATAAAGCACCTTCAGGTGCTGTATGAATAAAATAAAACTGAACTGAAGACTGTTGCAGGGTTCCTGGGTTCAACTTTGCCTCGGTGTTACTGCAGAGTCCAGAATCAATGGGTGACCTCACTGCGGCTATGTCCATCATTTATATACAGGCTATGGTTCAATTCATTCCAAAACACTTTACAAAACAATTTAAATGGAAACTGTGGTGCACTGTTGTGGCACACAGCTGAGCCACTAACTCGGCCTTTTTAATATAGCGGATTGATACATAGTGCACACATAGCTGCTGATTGGGTAACCCTTTTGATACAGCTACCAAATGAGAGAAAACAAGCCATTGCACAATCTTTCACACCACTTGAGGGACACGTTGTTTAATCCAGAAACCAAAGAAAAACTGTGCACCGCTTTCCTATTTTTATTTGTGTCCTTGATCGTCCCCGCCTGGCTTCACTCCTGTTAGCGCTGTCACTGTCCACCTATCCTGTGCCAAACTGTCAGTGCTTCAACCTTCCACTGCTCATTAGAATTCATTTACCTGGACTGTCTGATCATCTTCACTTTCATCAGAATTACTAAGCTATTTCTTATATTACCTCAAACTGGTCGACTGATTATTAATTAGTACAGAGAAATTATTTTAATACAGCACCCTGTGTCGATAAAATAGCTGCTTAATGAAGTTAAAACGGAATCTGATATTAAGATACATCTCAGTACACAACGCTTTACTCCCCAAATGTTTAACTGCAGCCATGATATCATCTGGGAATCATTAAATTGGTTTAAGATTCTATGACTGCAGTCTTGTGGTTTCTGATTGCAAGTCTGCCAGGCACTGAATCCAGCCCTGCTTGTTATCCTTAAAGGTACAGAGCTATAAGAGAAGCACTGCATTTTTCCGTCATCCCCATCCCCATGCACGCCTCAAAAAGACTTGACTTGAAACTCCCACAGTACCTTGCAGAGACCCCTCGTGCCGCGAGGGGCTTGAGTGAGTTAGTGTAACGCAGCAGCTTCTTTTGCTCCACCTTATCCAGGATATTCTTGCGGAGCACACGGGCGAGACTGAGTTCGCCATTACACACTAGTGTGAACACCAGGTCCATGAGCTGTTTCAAAATGTCCTCGGTCAGCTCTACCAGGCTGGAAGACACAGAAGGGACGAAAGAAATCTGTCAGCTCAATAAAGCAGTCAAAAGGTAACAAAAGAAGGACAACGGGGAACAATAACTACTCACCACAGCTCATCTACCACACGAACCAGCACGAAGAACGTGTTCTTGCTGACTCGTTTCTTGAAGGTGTCTGGACTATGGCAGAACGTGGTATATGTGCTTTGTGGTTAAGGACAGTGACAACAGTGTTTAATGTGGGATTAAAAAAAGAAAAAGCTTGATACTTCATGATACTTCCAAGAAGTGGCAGATGAATGAATCATCAATTCATCAGGGACTTGTCCCAGTACGGTTCTTACCCAAAATAAGTGAACTATGAATACATAACATATTACATGTTTTCCCTTTTAAAAAACAATGCATTTCTTCACTCATTTACTTCAATCAGTTACACTGCTTGTTATATCACTTCTGCATTACTCTGCAACATCACGGTGCAGAGTAAACACACACACACCCACATATCTAGCCCTATCCCAACAAGGAGTACATACACAACATCTTTCTTTAATATTTAAGTATAAGGACAAAGTCAGGAGTGAAGAGCACTTTACAAAAAACTGTCATGGCAACAGCAGTGTACTGTAGGGATACTTACAGATAGATAATGCTCCCACTATTTTGTGTAAGGATTCCTAAATAGAACTGAAGTCATGTTTGCAGATGTTTTTCCAGCTTTGGTGTGGTTTTCCCTTTACAGTCACATTCTTTTCCCTTTATGTAGTAAATAAATTCAAAATAATTTGCTTATTAAACGGCATCAAAGGTATGTTATGTACATTGAAGAAATCAAGAGTCCCCTTAGTTCAGACAGGCCACTGAGCCAAGCTTTGGATAAAGAACCTTCTACTCAATCAGCTGGCAAATCTTATATGAAGAGTGCTGTTTGCTTTAGCTCGACTTCTGTAACTGCAGAGCTGTAAGCCACTTTGATACCCACCTCCACTTCAGCTTCTCTTGTTTTCCTTGATTCCTGCTCTAAGAGTTGTACTGTGAGGTGAGAATAATGGGTACCTGTCTAGATCACCAAGGTAACTTGTGTGTTCGGCTTTTTGGCTTAAAAATTGACTGTGGGTGCCACATTTTCTCTGTTATTTCAAACAGCATCCTGTAAGTCTTGTTATGTTTGGTCCTAATCTGCTGAACAGTCTCCCACACTCTGCTTTTATTAATTAGTGTCCCACTCTGAATGCTGAACTATGGTGCAGGGCGTTTTTGCAGAGTCATTAGCCTCAACACATGGCCAGAATACCTGCAGAGCTCTTAACGGTTTTATTGACAACTGCTCTTTGTCTTTAAAGTTGAGCCAATATTGTAAAGACCTCATCATCATTTCTGACAACCACCTGAGCCTGAATAATTTGTCGAGTGTTGTTTTATGCAGCTTAGGAGTCCCAGCAAGGTCAGATCAATTTTATCCAAAAGTATAGACGCTTTCATCTCCTTCAGGTTAGATTATTGCAGTTTGTTATACACTTGTTTGTGGAAACAACGTTTACAGAGCACAGCTGGACTAAAATGCAGTGGCCAGACTTCTTTACTAAAACCACACAAAAAGCGAACACATCACCCCTGTTTTAGCTTCTCTTCAGCTAATTCTAAAACACTAACTTATAATTGTGTTAACTTATATTGTGCTGTGGGTTTGCACCAAAGTACAAAGTGCACACCAAAGTGTATCATCTTTCCCCAGCAATGATGTTTTAATTATTTTATATTTGCTTTTAATTGACCTCTTTTCTATTTTTAATTTTCTTTATTGCTCACTTTTAATCTCCTTGTGCTGCCAGTATCTTACACCTATCACCGTTTCACTTTTATCTCTGTTTGTCTTGTGATGCACTTTATAATTTCGATCTTTCAAAGGTTCTATTTATGCTGCTGGAATTGCAGCTTCTAGAAGACAGATCAGAAAACTGACCACATAGATTTTATTGGGCATATATCATCAAGAATTCCTATTTAGTCAATAAGGCTATGAGACCAGGCTATGAGACGGAGTCAGAGCTGAACACATCGATCTGCCTTTAAGGCTTATGCCTTTAAGTTTAAGAGCTCTGATGTGCAGCAGTTACAGCAGCACAGAGAGCACACAGAGCAGTAATATAAATATATTAACATATTTATATTTCCCCTCTGTGCGCTTGTGTTGAACAAATCATGAAATGTGCAATTTTCTGCAGCATTACTCTCCAGTCTTCAGGACAGTCTTATGATCCATTTTGTGGAGAAAGAGCCAAACAACACGTCAAACATCCCTTTTACAGGAGCCTGAAGCAGAAAGCCTGGGTTAACACACAAAGCTGATAACCACCATCGTGACACTTATGATCTCCCACTGGAGTTTTAGGTTCTGGCAGGCCAGCTAATGCAAGCAAGCCTCCCCATGTCCACCATGCTTAGAAAAAACAACAACACCTTTTTGAACTCAACCTGGAGCTTTGCTTAAGTTCTGCAGATGTAAGCGATGATTTTTTTGACTTGTCCTGTCTGAACTCAGAAAACACAACAAACAAAGTAACTGATTAGACAGTGTAATGGGACCGCTTTATGTCTACATAGACATGCATCATGTGACTACATCACAATGGCATAACAAATACACATTTTCTCTAAAATTCAAAGGCATGTGTGTTTGACACAAGACTGTTTTTGCCTGTTCCCTTTAGCTTTCTGTGAGCCTCAGTGTCTTGTATAAACAATGATCGTCATTAGGCTGTAATCACTGTCATTACCGTGTTGCTAATTAATTCCTGCAGTAAAAACAATAGAGCTGTGACTAACTTATTATCAGATATTCCACTGATGATATGCTCAATCAGTTGATTAACTGTCTAGTCATTAAGACATCGGGACAAAATGCAGCTTATCAAAATTTCCCCGAGTAGGTTTGCAGTGACGCAAGTCTGCAACACACATGATTAAGAACGATTTATTAAAGCATCTCCTAATTTGTCCAAATAATAAGTTTGGCCATATAAAGTTAATGATGAAACACTGCAGAAGTAATGTGTTTAGTCTTCAGTGGAGTGCTAAATATTAAGTCCAATACATGTGATGTCTAAAATCCATCCATCCGTCTTCTTCCACTTGTCCAGTTTAGGGTTGGAGGAGGTGGGCTGGACCCTGTCCGAGGTACCACAGGGCTGGACAGGTCGCTAATTTGTCGCAGGAGCAACACAAAGAGACGGACAACCATTCTCACTCACATTCACTCCTATGGCCAATTTAGAATCACTAGTTAACCTGAGAGAACCCACACTGCCCCTAATGTCTCAGTTTTTTTAATCATTAAAAATAATAATAACAATTAATAAAAAATAAAGAAATAAAATATAGGAAAAAAGTATGAATATAATTTAAGTGAAAGCTCTAAAATGAGCAAGCAGGATGAACAAGGGTCTCCTTGGTAAATAAGGATTAAAGTGAGAGAAAGAGCACTCTGTCAACAACAACAACCAAACAAAAAAAAAGGTCAGAGTGACATGTAGAGTTATTTGAAAAGGATATCTGTAGTGTAGCTTCTTAATGAGGTCCTCTGGGGTTATAAAAGTCCTATATGTAGTCAGAAAGGCTTCACAGTACAAAACGAGATCTGTCGGGCAAGAACAGAGGGAAAAAGGCAGCGTGTTTCAGTCGATGTGCAGCCAGTGTTTTCAGTTACTTAATTAAAGCTGACAGCACATCAAACGTGAAGGGCTGACACGCTGCAAAAAACTGAACCGCAAAAGAGACAGAAAGCTATTTAAAACACCGTTCAGAGGAAAAATAATAACACAGCAGTCGAATTTAAACAAGTACACATAAATCTGTCTTTGACTCTAATGTAAACGCACAGCTGTCAAAGCTGGCAAAACAAATCTGTGCCAGTGACCCAGAAGCACAGTGACACACTGCACAACATAACGACTGCGATGCTTTGCGTGTGCTGTACTGTACCTTTGCGGTCTGTTTCTGTAGCGTGGACTAATAGGATGTCCCCTGATCCGGCGCGGACGTCGGGGCCGTCGTCATTCTGCGAATATTAAGTAGCGGGCGAGGTGCGGCAGAGAAATACGGAGAGGTGGGTGAGAGTGAAAGGAGGAGGAGGAGAAGAAGAAAAGAGTGGTTAGACTTGGGATGGAGTGATGCAGTCTAGCCCAAAATGAAGCACGCACATTTCCTTCCCCCTCCCCGACCCCTCCTGTCCTGCACCAGCTCCCTAACTGATGACGGAGAAAAAGTCTAGATCTGTGCGTGACAAAGATCGCCTCTGCTGCGATATTTCTTGCACGACACCTCTAAATCTCAGCAAAGCTTTACACCTTTCCTCCTTACATTTCTGATCGCTCCCCGTCTCCTTTTTTAAAGCATTGCTGTCACACTGGCCCTAACCTTGCAGAGTGGCGAACAGCATTTTCACACATCTGTATCTCTGTATCTAACCCTCACACTGCACCACACAGGACAAAGGAGGAGGATGGAGCAGCAGCAGAGCAGTCAATTTTTAGATCTGCAGTTTTGGAGATTGAACTCCAGAGGGCAGCCACGGCTGCTCTCGGGATCTGATTTCACATCTGAATGACTCACGGCGACCTTTTACCCTGAGCTGGACTAACAGGATGAAGCGTGCTTTGTACGCTGGTGCTGCTGCACACTTCTGTTGTCTGTGGATTTCTAAAAACAGCACACAGGCCTCAAACAGCTGTCCCCTTACTTCTTGTTTTAGTGTTATCCTGCTCATGATCTCCTTGTGGTCTATGAGGGCGAGCTCGTCCACATCTTCTTCATCGCTCCCAGCTGAATCAGTTGCCTTTTGCCTTCTGAAAAACCACACACACACACACCCATCATCAAACATGTTCAAAATTCACACTGTGTGCTAGAGTGGAAACAACTGATTGTTTTGCAAAACATTATATTTCACAGTTGTGCTAACTATACCTTTCCTTATCCTCTTTGTTATTGGTGGATGGCATCTGAGGGGTGGGGTCTTGAAGGACATCATCAGCCGCGATTGTGTCCTATTTGTGGAAAGGGGAGAAAAATAAATAATTAACAGGCTGTTGATGGCATCAGAGGGACCACTAGGACCTCATGCAACATGTTGGCAGAGCAGAAATGGTGAATGGTTTATCTCAAGGTTTACAAAGGATGTTGTCCCCATTAGTGCTGATGCAGATAAAGTGTAATGAGCTGGGGGGGTCAAATAATGACGCTTTCCTTCGTTGTGAGTAAGGAAAAACCCGACAGATGATACCCAAACCAGAACAACACCACAGGGTAGAAGCACCAAATGTAGAACCACAAACACAACCACACTTCCATACATCATCCTAATCCTTTGTTCTCTCTCTTTCTCACCTCACCCCAACATGCCTTAAAATCCCAAATGCACAAGCTGCCCCAGGGGAATTCAAACACCACTGTACACGCACGCACATACACTTGTCGCACATGCACAGGTGCACAACAACTGTTATGAGAAGTGTTACTGGAAATCATTGAGAATCCCTCAACAGCGACATGTTAGGTGTTAGATTTGAACATGGTTAAACGCTTGTTACAGTTAAAGCGCAGCCAGTGAGAGAGAGAGAGAGGGGGGTGGCAATCAGCAGCCAGGCATTCATAACAACATACACAACATGGACATCTTTTTTTCCCCCCACAGACACCAGCCGGAGCACACGAGTCCCTTGCAGGCAAAACCCTGTGAACCTCAAGTCATGCTCAGTCAGGTTTGGCCATGTTCACATTCCATCTCTTCGCCATCGCTCCAGGAGGTGAATCAATAAAAGCTGCTCGGCGCGCAACAGATGTGAGGCTGACATCTGCCGACCTTCGCTCGAAATCCCTCCAATTGATTCATACCCCTGAAGTGATGGGGATGTGCAAATGGAATTGACCTTTCACCTCCCCACCCCGTGCCGGTCAGCTACTTACTCCGAGGGAGTGAGGCAGCTCCCCATTGGCCTGGCTGGATGAGTACAAGTTGACATACTCCCCCTCCCCGCCCTCGTCGTTCGCGCTCTCGCTCTATGGGAAGAGAGGAGGGACACAAACCGAGGTGTGAGGGCGGCAGAGAGTGTTTGCTAAGGGTGGAGCAGACGCCGAGTGAGAATGTGTGGCTAAGGAGGAGAGATAGCAGTCTAGTCGAGGTCTGGCGCTCTACAGAGAGTGATGTGCCTTCTAGTTCTGCTTTCTTGTGACCACCAGGTGGCGCTGGAGTGCGTTAGATACAAACAGGTAATAATATTTACTGGCAAGAAGAACATGCAGTGCAACATGCTCCGCTGGGATTCTTTTAAGGACCAATAATCAGACAGCAGACAGCTTGTGAGCAGTGATAATGACAACAAGATACCACTAAGAGAATGAGTCACTGCGTTATTATTATATGAGCAACAATACTGTACGCCAAACAGCTGTGATCTAATACCAATCTGCCAGGGGAAGGGATCCAGCATCACATTTTTCCCCCCTTTTAAATCTGTTTCACAGAGCTGGTTCAAAAGTATTTCTGCTTGAGCTTCCAACATCTGTCCTTTTTTTGTACGCTCACCGCTGAGGTGTGGAGAGAGTCAGTGAGAGAAGACTCAGAAGGAAGACAGACAGCCATAGAACCCACTGAGCCAGCCAGGGAACCGTTGGGCCCGCCCCCGCTGCCATCCAGAATGGTGGCATTGGTCAAGGCAACCTGGTCCAAGCTCTGTGATTGGTGGAAAAGAATGAAAGCAAGAAAGAAGACAAAACAAAATGAAAAGGAAAAAAAAAGAAAAAGACAGGTCTAAGAGATCAGAAAGAAGGAGGCAGAGCAGGTAGAAAAAGATTCTGCACAAAGGGAAAAAGACAGCGAGGGAGGGGGGCGTGTTCACCTCATACCTCCAAAACTTCCATTAGCCTTTGACTATGGGAGTGATGTGCCTGAACATGAATTGCGCGCACACACGCACACACACACACACACACACACACACACACACACACACACACACCTAAACTAAATACAACATAAACATTTCCAGAGGGGTAACATGGAAGCTATCAAAAAAGGGCTTGGCTTAACAAGGACACGGATAAGCCAGCATCAGCTCTCAGTGTGCATCTATGTTTCAACAAGCGATGTCTAAATGTTTGGTGGTTCATGTGGCCACTAAATAGATGCCTGGCAGCAGGGAGGGAGCAGTAACTTGTTCTAACATGTTGCACATAGCAGCCCTGTCTCAGCATACCAGCACAGAGTGGTGCAAACACATAGATCACTGGCAAACACGCAGACAAATGAAATGGCACGCTCATGCACAGCCGAACAGAAACCGGAACCGAAGCATCTCATTCTTCTTTTACTTTGCAACACAAATCTCGAAAATCCTCCCAAAACTGTGAAATTCCTCTCCGCTCCTTTAACACGTCATCCCTCTCGACATATGCAAAGCTGCTTTCCTGGAAGGCGCCCCCCCCCCAACATTCCCCCAAAAACCATCATGCCCTGACGATTAGAGGAATGCAAACATTCCACAGAAACTGGCAAATGGGAGATGTGGAAGTGTGCATGTGTTTAGGGGAGAGAAAGGCGCTCCCAGCACGGAGGTGAGAGGGACAGGGTTAGTAGTCGAGAGGCTTCACGGTGGAGGGTGAAGTAGGAGTGGAAGGAAGAGCAGTTGAAATGGAGGGAATGTGTTTTCCATCAGATCCATCTGCTGCTGCATTCCATTGGAGATACCCTGAGGGAGAGCCACACCATGTCTCAGCGTGCCTCACACACTGAGGGGTCACCATGGGTCAACTCTCCAAAAAATACTGACCGGAAGGCTGTAACACACATCCCAAATCTACTACAAAGTGCTTACTTGAACACAGCACTGATTAGCCTCAAGCTAACCCTTAAAGAAGAAGCTGATGGTTGAAATGAAACAAAAAAAGACCCGACACACTCTCATGTGATGTTCCGATGGGCTGCTTTGTACCTACAACTCAATAACTGAGGCACACTGAAAAGAAGAAAAGGATCAAATACAACCGGTAGAGGAAGGCTTTGCACACAAACGCACAAGCTTTGCTAGCAAGAAGCTGCACTCAACTATAACAAATTACTCCACAGACTCATTACCACGCAAAGCACACAATAATAAACAATATATATATTTTTTAAAGCAACAACAAAAATCACACAGTTAAAACAAATGCACGCATGGATGGGTGGAGCAGCAAATCTAACTGCACAGCAAACAAATCACAAACGCCTGAGGGTGTAGTCAGGAACGTCAATGGTGCAGGCGTAGATGAACAAGACTGTATTTACATATGAAGCACACACACAGGGTCAAGCTACCCCTGGACACAGCACCCAGCCAGAGTGGAGAATGGAGAGTTCAAATGCACGGGGTGAAGGAGGGAAGGGAAGGGGGGGGACTTACCGTGGGTGTGGTCATGGACGCCTGGCCAATCAGGTAGGAGTTAGAAACCGATATGCTGAGGCCCAGCCCAGAGCCCGCCTCCTCCATTGCCGCCACAGACGGCTGGAGGTGGCAGGAGAGAGAGGAGGAGGAGGAAGAAGAAGGGGAAGAGGAGTGGGAGGCCTGAGAGGGAAACGAAGACAAAGAAAGAAAGAAAGAAAGAAAGAAAGAAAGAAAGAAAGAAAGAAAGAAAGAAAGAAAGAAAGAAAGAAAGAAAGAAAGAAAGAAAGAAAGAGTGAGAATAAGACGGGGTTGAGGAGAGGTGCAGATGTGGGGAAAAAAGGGTGTTAAAAGAGAAAAAGAGAAGAGGGGACAGTTGATTACACTAGGAAGCGAGACTGTATTAGAGCAGATTTAATCAAAGGTCAGCAGTGGAGCAGTGAAGTTAAGTGGTAAAAGCGTAGGAGGTTTTTCTAGTACAGCTGAGAAGCATCAGCTCATTGGCTGCAGATGGAAATACAAGAGAAGGGAAAATGTGTCTGATTTTGAATCTTCTCTATTGTGTTTTCCTGGAAAACCTTAATTACTGCAGCACATGTGACGTGTTCAGGTTACACGCATTTATATTGACTCTGACAGCCCACTACACCTTTTGATGTCCTGAGCTTTAAGAGCTTTACAGAAACCAGGCCAGCTGCAACACGCTCTAAACAGAGCCAATATGATCCGCTCTAGTTTTTTTTTTCCCCCCACCCATTTCCTTATCCACATGGCGGCTGAATTGACTTTTTTTTTTTGCAAAGCCCTGTAAAGTTGCCAAAGCGTGTAAGCCTGGAACATGGGCTTATGGAGGAGGCAAACAGGCTTAGTCCACTGGGCCACGAGCTCATCAAGTCCAAAACACGAGGCCAGATTAGGCCTAGGGGGCAGGAAGGCGGAGATGAGCGCGGCCCGACTGTATGCTCAGACAAAAGAGTGATAAAAATAAAAGTTGGGCGCCTGGCTCAAAAATACACAGGGGTCGATGGCAGAAAGGGGACAGCGGATGAAGGTAGTGGGTCTGGGTAGGCAGCCATTCAGCCACAAAGTCTGTTTCTCTCTTTGTGAATTTGTACTGTACCCCGGAGAAGCATGTCATCTGCTTACTGTCCACAAATGCGCAGTCATATTTGTGGACAAAAGACGATTGTGTTTCTGGAAATGTGGCAAAATGTGGATCATCTACCGTGAACACAAAATATTTATAAAGCTCTCTAGTGGTGATCGTTAAACATTTTAAAAAGTCACATTAAAGGCCCCCAAAAAACCCTTGTTTTAAAAATCAAAACATTTTCACCACTACATAAAAATGAAGGCGCCAAAAACTCAGCTGATCTGCTTCACTAGGACTGCGTGTTCCCCACCTCATAACTGCCATTAAACTACAATCCAAAAGCTGTTAAAGTGTGACTGGTGCACAAAAAGCCCCTCTTAATTTAAAGTGGTTAGAGAAGCACAGAGAAAATAACTAAGATCACATGGAAAGTAACCAATAATGTTCCAGGTTTGGTAGTATATAATGTGCTAGTGTGAGAACGCATTGCTTGATAGCAGTGTGCCCTTCTTTTGCTGTGACTTATCATGGTGTGTGTCTCCTCCACTCTCTCCCCACTGACTCATTGTCAGACGGTTGTCTCAATTAACCCAGACGCCGACCCAGATTAAGATAAGTGGTCTGGATCTGATAAAGGCCGGTCTTATCTCCAACTAACAACCAAACACCTCCACGTATGTGCAGATGTCTGCTGCGGTTACAGAAATGGAGAGAGAAGAAAGAGAGGGAGTCGAATAGGTGAGGGAGATAACAAGAGAAGAGGAGGCTTGAGAGAAAATTGATGAGGATTACCGCTGGAATGCACTTGCAGCTACTCTTTGCTTCCTGCCGGCAGGGACCACCGCCGCTGCAGACGGCTTGTTTGTATTCTTCACACGGGCTCGCAACGCTTTTTAGTAATTTAAGGTGTAATTTCATAAATTGCAGTTTCATCAACGAACACTTCACCGCTTCAAAGTTTTGCTCTAAACGGAACTGAATGATTCCAGGAATTTAAATTACAGCTTTGCTCACTCGGCCCAAATGAGCAAACCCGGCTATTTTATCTGCTTCAGGCCTTGAGAATTTATGAAATGTGGCGAAATATTAAAGGAGCTCGAGGTCGCAGCCCTTTGAAGTAGAGATGTCTCTTACCAGTTGTCTTTGCTTTGGTGGCAAAGCCGGGGGCTGCACCGGCTCGTGCACTGAGTCGGTGCTGCTGAAGGAGTCGTTGAAGCCGTAGACCTCCTGGAAGCGCTTGTTGCGCTGTTCATAGATGCTTTCGCTCTGCGGCATCTGGTAGAAGACAGAAGGCTGTGGCTCCGAGTAGTCTTCCACAAACTGCATGTATTGAAGGACTGGAGGAAAGAGATTGATTCGATTAGGAAACGTGTTGTTTATTTTGCGTAAGGTTCCAACTTTAAGAAAAAATAGTTATTATTATTCTCTGGCTCTCTTCCAAAGTGTGTCTTTTGTCTCATCTTCCTCTCCCCAACCAGTCACAGCAGCTGGCTGCCCCACCATAGGCCTCTTTCTGCTTGAGGTTCCTTCCTGTTAAAACAGAGTTTTTCCTTCCAGCTGTTGCCAAGAGCGTTCTCACAGGGGGTCATTTGACTGTTGTGATTTTCTCTGTATTACTGTAAAGTAATACAATTTGAAAGCAATTTGAAATTAACCTCGACGTCTGTAACAAGTGTAAATAATCAGTATTGCTCATGCAAGATGGGAGATATAAAATACAGGAGATCTAAAAAGGAAAAAAAAACGTAAGCGTGTCACAGCGAAGTGTTGGGCAACCACACAATAACATTTTTCATTAAACTCCGTCTGCGTGGTTAACACCCTGGTGATTCAGACATTTTGCTAAAAATGTTCTAAAGCCCATGAATGCATCACTATGACATCATCAGTTATTTTCCTGGGTTTGACAAAGCTCCTCGAATGACACAAACCTTATTATATAGTGATTCTCACTGGGTTAACAGTAGTGTGCATATACTGCACTTTACATCAACCAGGACTCTGGAATGTGATTAAAAAAGCAGGAAGGGCAGTCTGCTGCTGGGAATGACATAATACAGTAGCATGAGAGGAAGTGATGTAGCAGTCGGGTGAGGAAGTGACCATCCACTGCCCTCTGTGCCCCTGGAGCCGAACCCATTGTAGCACATCCTGGTGTTCACTTCCTGCCTCTATTCACAGAGGAATATTTCCTTGACATAAACCGCGGTGCAACAAGTGGATGACAAAGTGCACTGAGCGTCCTTTTCCAAATCTCGACTTCAGTCTTTAACCTTTAATCTTACTTTACTCATTTAAAGGTCGTCCTTCTTTCTAGACCTAACCGCTGCATCATAATGTCTCCTGCCTCTTTTCTTCCCCCCTCACTTACTGTGTTTGCTTTTCTTTTCTGGCAGTGGCGGTGGGCTGGCGGGGACATCTGCATTCTCACTGGCAACGTACTGGGAAACAAACACGCCCCCATTTGTTTGGGGCATGGGTGAGATGGGTGTGAAAAGGGGGAACGGTGGCGTGGGATGAAGTTCCTCTTCTGACAGGTTGTCGTACTGCGAGGGGAATCGCTCGTACAGCACCCTGGACCCACTGTCGGAGAAGGACGACGTTTGGGTGCTGCGCCGCTTCTTCATCGGCAGGGCAGGGGGTGCGCTGATGCGGGAGGACTGATTGGGCTGGGGGGTCCAGTAATCTTGGTGCTGGGGTGGGGGAGCGCTGAAGCGTGGATGCGAGGGGTGCTGTCCAGGAACGGGGGAAGAGGACTCGCTGTGAGACTCGGGCAGGGGGCTGAGGCACCCCCCAACTGGTATTGGGGGCAAGTTTTCCCCAGCTGACAAGTCCTGGTGGAGGAAGTCATAATCTGGGTCGTAGTGATCTGTGTTGTCTGCAAAGATAAAGAGAAGATGATTTTTATTTACATTACATTTTATTTTTTTTATTTAGTTCTTCGTATTTCATCAACAACTAGTGTTGAAAATATTAAGGAACCCACCCCCTTTAGTCAATTATAATAGCAGGAGCTAACACAGCATAATTACCTCACAGTTGAACTTTTGACTGTTTTTTTTACTTTTCTGTCAACTATTTGTGCAAAAAAAAAGCACATATTTTTCCTGATTTTGTACATTGTTAACATTTAAATATGCACCCATCTTTAGTATTTTGTGCAAGCAATTTGACCAGCATAAGAAATAAAATAAGCAATTCAGCGCTGAATAGCTGGACTTCTTACCGAGCGTCTCACAGCTGGTGTTCCGAGAACACTGCCCGCTGTCCTGCTCTATGGAAGAAAGCTGTTCGTCGGATTTGCTGAGTTTCCCCATGCTGCTGCACGGTGAAAGACGGGGAGAGTCGCCACCGTACGAGTGGCTTCCCCCAGAGAAACGCCTCTGAAGGAACTCCTGTTCATACTCCTGTTGTTGCAGAGACACTGAAAGGTTAGTTTACTTCCTACAAATACCTACTGCATTTAGGGTTTTAAAGTAAACTAATGGGATGCTATAATACAGTGCTGTGCAAAAGTCCTGAGCCATTATTTTCTATTGGTATTTTGTAGGAAAATGGGAAACAGGTGCAGTGATTTATTGAAACGTGCAAACATACATGAAAATACAGTACACAAAGCAAAAATGGAGGTTGTACAATTTGAACAAGTATATACAATATGACTTGATATGCTTGATCACAGCCTGAACTCTCTTTGGCAAAGTTTCCTTCTGATTTCTTTAAGTAGTCTTCAGGAATAGTTCTCCAGGCTTCTCAAAGGACATTCAAAGCTCTTCTTTGGATGTTGGCTGCCTTTTGTTGCATTCTCAGTCAGGATGATCCCACACTGCTTTAATAAAGTTGAAGTCTGGACTCCATGACTGATAGTGTGTTTGGGATCATTGTTATGCTGAAAATGAAGCTGCTGCCAATCAGATGCTTTCCAGATGGTGTTGTTTGATGGATCAGAATCTGACTGCACTTTTCTGCGTTCATAATTCCATCCGCTTTGACAAGATCTCTAACACCACTGGCTCAAATGCAGCCCCAAACCATTACAGATGGCAGTAACATGTTTTGCAGACGGCTGTAGACCCTCACCGCTTGTGACCTTCTCTCATGTACATACCAATGACGACTGGAATACATAATTTCAAATTTGGATTAATCACCCCATTTGACATGTTACCACTAATTTTCAGTCCATTTCTTGTGTAACGTGGCATCCATTTCTCCCTGTCCTCCTTCATTATAAATGGCATCTTGACAACCATCCTTCCACTGAGACCATTTGTGATGAGACTTGAGCAGACCGATGAAATGAATGGCAGGGTACTGTTTCAGGTCTTTACTGGATTCTTTCTTATTTCTTAAGGACACGACTTTCAGATACTCCACACCAGGTTTTCAACTAATAGATGTTTGGACTCACCTTGTTGGTGAAAAAACAAAAATTCTATTTTATGCCTTAAAAAAACGGAGTAAAACAAAACAAAAAACTATTCATATTAAAATGGTCAGGTACAAGGACTGGATTGAAAAAGAGTGAAAAAACAGCCATGGAAGTCTGGAGAACTAATGCTCAAAATGACAAGAAATTCAGGTGTCTTGGAAGCAAAATATAAGGAAATGAGGGGTGACTCAAGAGTTTTGCACAGTACTGTAGGTCACTGGACGTTAAAGCCTCACCTGTCTGTGGTCACTACACGGGAGGCTGGAGCCACGGCTCATCGGGGCGACCACTGCCACTGGTGTAGGTGAAGGGGCTGACTGTCGCTTCTTAGGAGGAAGAGCTGGTGGAGGACTACAGACGGATAAATGGAGAACAGCAGAATAAGAAAAAGAAAGAAAGCAAAACAGGAACAATGAGCGTTTTGTCTCAAAGTTAAAAAAAGGTCAATCAGGCAAGCACGCAGAACACGCGGTTCCTGACATGTATGCACACACACACACACACACACACACACACATAAAAAACAACAACAAAAAGATGTATATATACATGAACACACACACATTATCATCCCTCCTCTGGAGAGTGAGATGAAAAGTGAGAGTGTTTCATGTTAGGCTCTCTCCTGCTTGTCAAACCTAAATTCTCTTAGTGAGTTAATATCATCCAAATGAGGCGACGAGCGAACAGAAGCGACCATGACATGGAGGCCAGCGAAAAAGGACACTTCATAGGGTCAGTCATACACTCTCATGCACTGGGCGGTCTTCTGATTGGATGGGAAGGTCTTCAGGGAATACCCAGGATGACACAAACTTTAAAACAACGCAACCATGCAAATCAAAAAGCACTTTCATCCAATCCAGAAGTTTTATGGGGAAGGGGGGAGGGGTGGGATGTTATTATGGAGACAGATGATCCTATGGGGCTAACATACTTCTCCTTCTGAGAGGGTCTCCTTTGGCCAGCCTCGGCACTCAACTGTGCTCTGTTCCCAGAATCCAAAAAATGGGAAAAGAAATAAATAAATACAAAAAAAAAATGACAGACACAGCAGAGAGAGTAAGGAAGGAAGAGCAACAAACAAACTACTGATTCAGATTTTTAAGGCTCGAGTATAAAAAGTGTTAATAGTTCAAACCTCAAAGAAAACCCCTTTGAATTCCACTAAAGCTTCCTTTACTCCTTATTTGTTACTCGTGAAACAACTTGAGAATAAAGAAAAGTTACACTGAAACAGCTGCAACGAATAAATGCTTTGTGGCGACGGTACAAATGGTCACAAAATAGTTTCGGTGACCTCTGACCGCACAGCCTCAAAGCTACCAGACAAAAATAAGGCGACAGGAAATCCTTTGGTTTCTACGGACTTTATCGCCACAGCGAACGCTTCAGCAACGTCTGCTCAGCTGGGAGAAGCATTGATACTGTAGCCCTGCTCACTTAAACACAGAGAATCCGCAATATCACACCCGCAGCTGGAGCGCTTTCACCCTCACCTGAGCTCAGCCATTTTGGCTTCCGGTAGTGGTGGTTTGGGAGGTGCTACTTCCACGTCTGGTACTTCAGGGGCAGCTTCCACAGGAGCGGCTGCCGGAGCCGGCTTACTCGAGACCTCCTGCTCCCGATCTATCAGGGGCATCTCTGCTGACACGCTGCTGCGTACGTAAAGAAAAAAAGCAGATTGAGTGACGGGACGTACTCGGAGCGCCTGAATCTTCGTAGTCCTGCGAGTGTGCTCTGCGCTCACCTCTCGGCTGTGACAGCAGGTGCTGCTGGTTTATTAGGTGTGGTAGGTGACGGCTGTTCCTGCTTCTCTATGGTCAGCTTCACCAGCTCCTGTTCACAGACAGACAACGCAGCCAGTCTCAGTCTCCTCTGAAAACTCCACTTTAGCACACTGCCACATCATTTTCAGCACAGGGCCCATACCTTTACTCCATCCAGCACCGCTTTGATGACATTGGTGACAGAAGCCACATTTTCCTTATCGTCCAAGTCAATCCCGTCAAGCATCACCTGGTCGGCCCAGCGGATAAGGTTGGCCAAACTCTGATATACGCGGCTGTGGCAAGATGACAGCGCCGAACTGTTTGACGAGAAGAGGAATTCAGAGGGGGGGTTGGTGGTGTACAGTACAGATATGACGCACATCATGCACAGGAGGGGAGAGCAAAAGTGAGGAAGGAGAATGATCCAAGAGGGCACAACAGCAAGGCGTGAAGAAGGAGAAGGAGGAGGGGGAACATGTTAGGCTGCAAGTGAGAAAAATCACAGAAATAAGACACATTCTATCTACTGTCTATCAACAAACATTTTTGGGGGGGATTGGTTGGAATTGCTTAGGCTACAAGCTTGAGGCTAGGAATAAGGCTGCTAGAGCTCACAGGAGAATGTAGGGAAGTGGGTGTTGTTTCACCATTTAGCAAATCATACTTTGAGACTTAACACTAAGGTGTGGCAATGGCCTGTACCAACACGCAGCGACTGATTCACAGTGCAGGAATATCCTTCCAATGTCTCTGCACGGCTTAGTCCTTAAGCGAGTGGGAGAGAACTGAAGCTATAGAAGTAGGGAGATGGTGGATTGGACAAGTATGGGACGTAGATCACGCTGGAGCTGAGGAGATCTAGAGTGATTATAATTCATGTGGCTGACTAGACTTTGTATATACTAATACAGTTTTAGCAAATAAGCTCTCTACTTAACTCTCACTGGAGTTACATCTATTTGACTCAAATTAAATTAAATCCCTGAAACCAAATATACCACACATGTAGCCAACGGAAAAACGGTTTTAATCGCTAAAATGGAAACTTAACAGCTAATATTATGAAACAATATTTACTTACTGTAGCTTATTTGCCAAAAGACATTAAACTTAGAGCTGTAAAGTAACTATAATGTAAACTTTTACTGGGATCTGTCGAGATTTGGACTCGGTAAGATTGAGTTCAAATCTTAAAATATGGCTGCTGCTCAGTTTTCCAGCAACAATCCATCAACTGCCTCTAAACACAGTGCTCTGACCTTTGACCTCCGTACTTCATCTGTAACGATGGGTGAGAAAAAAGGCACAAAGACAAAGACAGAGAAGTTCCAACATGTCCTGGCAAAAGCTGTCGACAAAAAACTGTAGCTGGGCTTACTTTAAAAAAACAACAACAACAAACACATAGGGGAAATAAAGCAAACTGACTCGTGCTACGGGCTGATATATCTCAAAGCTGAAATTAATTTCTGTTCCACAAAAAGAAATGTGTTAATGGAGAGAGAGAGAGCAGCGAGTGATGTGAGCTTATACAACTTCAGATTTCGAATCGGGGGAGCCTCGAGGGGAGCCTGCGAACTTATCAATCTTCACAAGCTCCTCGCTGACAGGAAGCCAGCGTCTTTCTAGTCTGAACATGTGACCGAGCTACTTTACAAGCTGCTTCGAGAGGCAAGAATAATAAGAATAAACTGAGAAGTGATACAGTGTCACTAATATAAATCTAAAGTGGGGAAAAAGACTGCAGAAAGAATATTATAACACTGACCTACATTTTCTATTACCCACCTGTGCTGTATCCGTGCCTCTACCTGCACCAGAGGCAAGATTGCTTCAAGCACCTTGCTGGCCGAGCCTGGAAGCATCTCCAGAACCTTCTTCTCCACGACCATTTTGTCCACGATTGTCTTGAAGTAGCGCAGGGCACTGACCACTTCTTTCTCCTGCTCCTCCAGCCTACTAACCTTCTAAAAAAAAACCCACAACCACAAAACAGTGTCTCAGGATTAGACTGCAAAGTTCATTTTTATAAGAGAAGTAAATAGTTACTATTTAGTCTGGGCTCTGTGCATTGGGTCTGCTACTCCTGTGGTTTGCTCACAGTTCAAAGCATCATCTATCAAGTGATGTGGCTTTGAGTGATCTTGGTGCTCCTGCAAAGAGCTCTTTGAGCCTCTCTAGTCTTTCACAGCAGGACTGCTGAGGAATATACTCATTACACCAAAAGCCTTTAAGAGCTAACAGAGTTCATTCACGACGCAGCGCGGTTCCATTCGCGCCTTTATAGGTTTAGACACCTGCTGAAGCACAGCCAGCCGCCACAGCGACTGGGAGGCTGTGGGAACCAGCAGGGAAACCCACGTGCGGACACAATGGAATAGAGGAGCACAAAACATCTGACAGGAAAGCAATCGCCTCGCAAAGAGGCAAACAAATACACGGAATAGGCGGGAAAGCGTTGGATTTCCCACGATACACACATGTCTGCTGGCGCACACAAACACACACACCTTGTTAGTAGGTTTCTCAGTACTCTTGGCTGCTGTCTCGGGCTGCAGTTGCTTGCCCTTCTTGGATGGAGTCCTCTTGATCTTGGGAGAGTGGAACTTGTCCTTCAGGATCATCGTGATAGTGGACAGATGGGACCGTTGCGAGTCTGTGGACGAGAGAGGGAAAACACAGGAAGTTGAATGGTCAGTTACGGAGGAGAGATTCTCAAGGGGGAGGTGGGGGGTGAGGAAGGGGGTTTGAGGATAGAAATTAGATGTAAGCAGATGGCACAAGCTCAGTGAAGTGCTGATATCACTATCACACAGTGGTGCTCAAGTCAGGAGCTGAGCACCAGCAAGACTCCAAAAGGGAAAACTGGAGTCTTTAATGCTAACACAAATCTGCTGCTCAAGCTCATCTAGCAGCTCATTATTTGTACAGATGTGAGGGAGACCAGGCCAAAGCAGACTAGTGTGCCTCTGCTAGTTAGTGCAGAGATGAAAATGACTTTACAGGATTACAGAGACAGCAGCTTCATAATAGATGAGTTATTTAGCAGAATTCCAACTAGTTCATAGCAGTGAGGGTTTAGTTGATCCCAGGATTAACAGAGCCTTAACATAAATAAGGTGCTCCCTCATGTTGTCCTTTCACCTCTTTTTCTCTCCCCTCCTATCTGAAGCTGAACCAGGAAATAAATACTAATAAGAGCAGTGGGAGCTGACATGACGAGTGTGGGTTTTTATCAGTGACAAAATGACACCTTTATCTGCTTTAATCTCCCTTGAGCGCCGCAACGGCAGGATGTGGCATTCTGGGGCCATCAGCGTGAAGGAAAACAACCAAAAAGACTGCAGAATAGCAATCAACAGCAGGAAAGAGCCACAAACCAGACTTCCAGTGGGGCCGTGCTTTCATCTGCACCATTGATCGACACGACACGCAAGCATCCACCCCACTGTTCTATCTCTAATCCCCGTCATCCTTTACACCCAGCGCAAAGCCAAAGTTTGCCAGGACGGCCAAGGACGGCCTCGTGTTCTCATTAAAAATGTTGGTGAGAACGGCTGCCGTAGCATTTCCTGAGATTAGGCATGCGTGACCCCTTGTCTCTTGTTCTTACGCAGATTTTTTTAAAATTTTTATCCCAGCTTCACACACAAAAAAAAAGAAAAAGAAAAAGAAAAAAGAAAACTCCAGGTGAATTTGTTTTTCGGGATGGGGCAAGCATTAGTAAGTTATTCGTGTCGCAGAGAGAGAGGATTGAGCAAAACGCAGAGTTGCTGGAAATCTCTTTCATGACTGCTCATCAATTTTAATCTGAATTTGACCCAGTTTCTAATATCCAAATCGGTTGAATCAATCACATATAGATGTTTCAACGTGTTTGCTTTCCTGGGGTAAAAACAAACTAACTCAAATGTAACTTCATGAGCGGCTGTTTCCAGGGAGAGAGTAAATTCATGCCACCGTGTGACAGAGATAGCATATTTTATTGGTATGCTGTGCCTCTTCATTTCACACAGTCAGTGGAGTAAAGAAATAACAACGTCTAGTCAGCTGGGCAGGATTTAAGGAGAAGGAAGACAAGTTTATCAAAGAAGACAGAGCAGTCACTCGGTGCGATGAAGACCCTGCAGGAAGGGACAACCTTCTCATCTGCACTGCTGTCTGGATCTACACTTTGTAGTCGCGCTGCAGGGGATGATGTAGTCCTTCAGAGCTCCAGAAGAGCACGGTCTGAATAGCACAGCTAGCGTGAGAGATTATTTTACACCCCGAGGCTGTACATACAGTGTTAAGTAGTTTTGCCACAAGCCAAGACACTCTCCTGGCTGGACTTCGCTTTACAGAGTCACAGACTACATGTAGAGTAGTGAGTATGTTTTTGATTGCACATCAGCCTTCATATAAATTCAGCGCCCCCCCCCGCCCAGAATCTCCTTAATCTGGGAGCGTGCACAGGGGATTGTGTCGGACTTCACAAAAACGCTGCACCCTCTCACTCAACTGCAGCTTACACAGAGCTGTGTCCACGTTTACAGCTGCAACTCAGCATCGTCCCAGCCCCAGAGCTGAGAAGCAATGACACGAGCACAATGAGTGCATGCGATCGATACAGCTGGTGACCTCAGACGCCACATCGCGGTCCCGAGGCTCAGCTGTTTATCAGGCGCACAGGGCTGGTTCCATCAATCCTCCGCTCCCCTATTCACTTCTCAACCCAGTCTTTTTTTTTCCTCTTTAGTTCTTGGGAGCAGAAAGAACTGGAAGTCTGGCTCAGCATGAAAATGACATCATCAACAGAAAGAAATGGACACTGTTAAAGTCAGCAAGCATGAGAGAGAGAGGGAGAGAGAGGGAGAACACAGTGAAGTGCTCTGTTATAGTCATGCAGCCCCCCTTTAAGTATCCACCCTCCCCTCCTCTGTGAGAGAGTGCACAGCCAGGTCCTCTCCTCAGCTTCCTGCCTGCTGCTGGCCAGAATTATGATGTCATTGGTTGTAATGTCTCAGACAGATCTGACGAGTCATCGACGAAACAAAACAGTGAAAGAAACTTTACAGTTAAACCGTTTTGGGGTGGGATAAAATTGGAAGTTGTGTAGGCGCTAATACTGTTGTCGTCTGCTACCCGTAGATTCTGGCAGCCTGGAGAACAGTAAAACTGTCTCAGTGCCAAACTGAGACTGGAGACTATTCATTTCTGCACCTCGAACACCCAAGCGCCATGAATAAGTCCAAATGGAAGCACATTTATGCACTTAACTCTTGAACAACCTGAGGCACTGTTAGATTACCGTCACTAAAAAGACTTCAAAGCATCCCATGATCCACCTTATTAGAGTTTCTGCCAGTTTTTACTTTTTACATAAAATGCAACACATTTTCCAGCCTCTATTTTCTCAGGTTTTTAGACATATTTATGATGAGCACATAAGTGGCCAAACTGGGACTTGGATCATGTCTCAACAACTATAAAACCAACCTTGTTCCCAACCTTGGGGACCCAGGACCCCATTTTGCAGATCAAAGTAATTGGTGCAACCGCTATACTGAAGGCTTTAAACAATTTTTAAAAGCTACAATTTGGTTCCAGTCTTCAACATATCAATCTACGCAGCTTTACACCATTTCAAATGTTACTTCAAAGCCAATACTTGTGTTTTTACTACTTTAAAACTGCTTTGAGAGACCAAGGGGATAAAAGAAGAAGAATTAATTTGAAGATTTAATATGTGATGCTTTGCCTTTGTTGATTTCTATTTGTGGCTTCCATATCCATTTTAGTGAAAATAAAACAGCAGAGCCTAACTGACAAACATCAAAGTGGGTTAGGCTTCCATAAAAAAAAAAAGTCTTGGTTTATCTCTTACATTGTAAAATGCTTCAGTCCCCTGAAGAACTGAAACCAAACAACCCCCAAACCCTCACGTCACACTGCAAACTCACAATTACGCGTAAACCTCCCGCAAAAAAAATCCCCAGTGCGATGAGTTCACAGTTCATGTGAACGCCACGGTGGTAAAAACCTTATGACAATCGGTTCATGTTAGTACTGGTAGCAAAAATCCAAGTCTGTAGGATATGTGAAAAAATGACTATAAATGACATTGTTAAGACTAAATAGCGAAGGATTTAACAAGTAAACATCTTTTTTGGAGGCTTTTAAACTCTGCAGACACTTTGCTGCTCTTAAAGGCCTTGGGGACATTTAAAGCAAACACTTGAGTCTGAACAACTCTTCAACAAAGCCTGGGAGAGTTCTCATCCAGCTCTGCGGTGTTAACAGATTCCCTGGGAGCTTTCTAGCTGCTGAATTGTCTGAAGGCTTTGTTACACAATAAGCAAACAGAAAAAAAAACCACACACACACACATAGGGTGTAAATTTATGGATGCTTCTGGCAGAAAGAGGTAAGTGGATGCAATATACCGCAAATTAATTTTGTGTATATTTCGCTTGTTATTTGCTGGAGCCTGAAAAGACCTCTGCATTTAATTCTGCTGCCCTAAGGCAACCCACAGACACCTGCTGTCCAGGAACATTTCATTTAGAATAAGAAATAGTTTATTTAGTATTCCACCTGGAAAGGCAGCCAGTCTAGGGTTTTGTCAGCCTCACCACATGAACCATAGCTACGAGCACAATCCCTCCAGGCTAACATGATTCTGTATCAGTGTGATTAATATCTTGAAAAACTTCCTTGAACTCATGACCCTCCCAAATCGCAAGGCAAATGTTTTTTTAATAAACAGTTTTATTTGGAATCCTGACAGGCTGTCAGACAAAAAGACATACCTGAAGGTGTTTGAAATGCTGCTTCCTCATAAACTGAATATTATTAAATTAGGAGGGTTTTTTTCCTCTCTCCCCTTTCTATTTATAATACAGTATCTCTGAGTGGGAGGAGGTTAATTCCACCCCTGCTATTAATGGCAGTCTGTGTAGTGTGAAAAACTGCAATTTATGAAACAACTTGTTTCTTAATTGTACTTATCTTATTTATCTATTTTCCAAATTAGAAAAAAAAAATCCCGTTCTGTATTGCTGATCATGACGACTGGTGCCATATGTGTGTGTCGGGGTGTGACGGGCTGGCAGATTGATGTGGTTCCTGCTCAGTACAGGTGTGATCAATACAGGACAGCTGGTGGCCTCTTCCCTTCTCACTGGCCCTGTAGGCTTAGAGTAAGATGAAACAGGGTGGAAAGCAGAGATGAGGCTGTGCTTAGTTACATGTACAGCCGTCACCTCCTGCTGAACCCCTTCAGTGAGGAGCTTCTCAGTGAAAGTGTCCCCAAACCTTCCTCTGCGGACGTGTTTAGCCTGTTAGACGACCGCTACGAGAGTCACAAAGGTCACTGTGTGACAGCTGTTCAGCATATGAAAAAGGTAAGTGGGGGGGGGGAAACTGATCTGAAAGTGTGCATAGAAAATGTTTAGAGGATGAATGAACTGCAAAAATGAGTTCTTTTTCTGCTTTACACAGACTCCTTGAGAGATAAAACCTACAAGTATATGTATACATAGCCTTCACACTGGACTCATTCAGTCCCTCAGTATGTTAATATGCTTTTGAGTTTATAACGGCATTTCTGTTGCACACGTTTTGAAGCAAAGACCTACAGTACCAGCAATGTTAACTTGATTTGCTAGCTGGGGC